AAAGGATATGCAGGTTGCCAGGGCCTGGGACTGTGGAAGGGGTCACCTGCAAAAGGGCACAAAGGAGCTTTTTGGAGGTGACAGAAATGTTCAGTATCTTGATTGTGGTTAGTAATCACAACTGAGTGTGTGTGTCAAAACACTAGAACTGTTCAGTAAAGATAGAGGCTGTTTCTGTATAGAAATTATACTTCTATTCATTTTTTTTGTTTGCTTACAAGAGCCCACTTCCTTTTAATGATGAATGGATAAATAGAACGTGACCTATCCATACAATGGGACATTAATCTGCCATCAGACGGAACAAGGTATGATTAGAGGCCACTACGTTATGCTGAGTGAAGGAAGCCAGACACAAAAGGCCACATAGTGTATGATTCTGTGTAGATGAAATAGCCAGAACTGGCAAATCCATAGAGACAGGAAACAGATTTGCGGTTGCCACAAATCTGGGGGAGGCGGGAATGGGGAACAACCGCCTGACGAGTTTCTGTTTCAGGTGATACAAAAAAAGTTTTGGAACTAGATAGTGGCAACAATGGTTGCATACGATGCAAATGTACTTAATGCCACTGAATTGCAAACTTTAAAGTGGTTAAAACAGTAAAGTTTATGCTATATGTGTGTATTAAGATGGTAAAAGAGAAAGAAAAGACCCCATTCCCTGTTAACATGCCAAGCATGCAGCGGGTACTTGGTAAAGGCTGGCCTGAATTTTGGATTCTCTGTAACCAGGAGGAATGTGTGTGGCAAATTCCACTGTTACTCTGATGCTTGTCGCAGGAACGTTTACCAGGTTCCTAACGTTGGTTTGTCCCCAGCGGTCGGGCACCTATGGATAATCCCCCCAGTGGATTGATCTTGGGAACTGTGGGGGTTGCATTTCTTTATACTTAAAGAATAGGTTGGCTTGGTTTCATGTTTGGAAGGAAAGCCAGGCTCAGTCTTGGGTCTTCAGCAAAGGCAGCTGAATAAATTAAAACGTATTCATAAAACAGCAGGGGAGCGGCGAAGGGCCGCTCTTTCGGCATGCTGGGAAGACATTTAGGGTTGGGAACCTAGTGACCATGAAGCAAGTCAGCGTCAAGATGAGAAAAGCCAGGGGAGGAGGTCATCTGGAGGCAGAGCTTGGCCAAGGCCAAGGGCAGTGAATCGAGCAGTTGAACCACCCAGCTCTGCGTGGGCCTTGGAAGCCCCGAACAAGAATCTTATTGATGATCTGTCAGACCCTGAGCAGGCGACTCTGAACTTTAACAGAGCCAGGATGCAAAGCCCGCACAAGGGCCTACAGTTTCCAGAGTGAACAACACGCTTATTTTTTTCCACCCTCCACTGGAAGATGAGGAAGAGACAGAACTGAGAAGGGTGGGGTGGGGTGGGGTGGGGGCGGGGAAGGGGAAGGGGCCTCCGTGAAACAGCCACATTCCTGGGAGGGACTGCCCGCCCCTCTGAGCTCTGAGGGTTGAAAAATGTCACCGGGGTTGGCGCGGATCGGGGCTTTGCTTTTGTTGATTGTTAGGTTATTTCCAAGTGTCTGTAGCGGGGGCCCAAGCTGGTGTGATGGCAACAGGGTCGCCGGCCCCTGTTTTTGTGCTCAGCACCTTGTCAGGCGCCCAAACCTGCCGAGGCTGACCCTTGACCAGAAGGAGCTCCGGCCCAGCCTGAGATGCCGGCCTGGCTCGCACGGACAGGGCCGGGAACAGAAGGCTTTGACAGGGAGGCGGGCAGGGAGGCGAAAGACGGCCAGAGAGCTGAGTGCCGTTGGGCGTGGGCCGCTTGGCGGAGAAGGGACCCGGATGCACCCTGCAGGGTGATGCAGGTCCGGAGAGGAGGGGAGCGGCATCCGGGGCTTGGTGACTCTCCGGTTCCTGCGACCGAGTGTCTTCAACCCCGTTGATTACCGTTCACCTGGCGCAGCCGCTTTACAGGAAAAGGAGGGCGTCTGCTTTCTCCGAGCCCCCTGCCCCGCCGCCGCCACCATCTGCTTGGTGCCTCACCTCCCCGATGGCGGGGGGCCACAGCTGTCCAGTTCATGGCAGTGTCCCCAGGCCTGTGTGTGATGGCCTTCTGCCTCTCAGTCACCCCGGGGCATCTCTTACTGTCCCTACATCTAATGGAATTATCCCCAGGTCCCATGGGTCCCATCATTTCTCGAGTCCGGCACCCTCCCCCACCCCATCTCTCCTGCCCTGTGGACTCTAGTGGAAGGGGAACCAGATGCCACAATCCAGATAAAGCTCCCAACAGATGGCAGGCGATGTGTACCTTGGACTTGGACATACTTGGATTTGAGCCCCAATGCCACTACCAACTGCGGATGTGGCTGAGTTCCACTGTCAGTCAGCCTCAGGAGCCCACTTCCACGCTGTGCGCTTGCAGAGTGGTTGGTAGAATTGGAGGTGCTGGGGGTACGGCGTCCTACAGGGCCCCTGGCTGCTGTCAGTAGGCCACAGCGTCGCCATTTTCCGCTGCACTAATGCACTCACCTCACTGGCCTCCCGGCCTCCCGGCCTGGTTCCCTGGTCCCCTCCCGTCGTCCTCCCTGTTTGCGGAGTTGTTCCGTCTCTAGCCTGCTTGGGGAAGAGTGTTACGTGGCCTTCCCTGACGCACTGCCTATAGGCCCTGCAGGGCAAGATACTCTTGAGCAAAACAAACAAAGCCCCTATGAACTGCCCACAGCATCTGATCCCACAGTTGTGGCCTCAGAGACCACCTTCTCCCCTTTGCGGCCCACCACCCTGCCCTAAGCCCCTTGTGACCTGGAGACACAGAACTCCTTGTGGTCTCTCCAACGCTCAGTGTGCTTTCAGTTTTGAGTCTCATGAGCATCCCATCCCCATTTTCTGAAGTGCCTCAGGCTCTCTCTGGTGAGCTCCTGTTCATTCCTCAGTGGCCAGTTTATAAATTAAATTCCTCTCCGTGATAACCCCGATGTTTGTTTCTCTGTCTTTGGCACATTCCTGATCCTCAGGGACATTCTTGAATTACTTCTGTTCCCCCCTGCATGTTCACTGTCCCCAGACATGGGGCCCCTGGGAGGGCTGGAGACCCCAGCTGGCTAACCGCTGTCTCCCCAGAGCCAGGCACAGAACTCTTCACCCTTTGGCTTAGGACGCATTTGCTGCAAAGATAAACAAAGGCTGTTTTCCAGGAATCGGACAGCTTTTGGGAATAGCTGAGGATGTGGAAGTGAAGAGACACTTTCAGTTTTGGTGCTTCCCCCCCTCCCCACCCCCCAAGTAGCAACAGCAGTAGAACAGCTTCAAGTTCAGAAGGTCAGGAAAAATGCGGCCGAGACCCTACGTGCCTTGCCAGGCCTTTTCACTTTCCCTTCTCCCCACTGGAGTTGAGTTCAAGGCGCAGGGTCATTTTCCTCAAATTTATCCCTTGTTTTCCCTGGTTTGACTTCTGTAAGCTCAAGAGGAAACTCATGAATAACTGTGTAAAACCAAACCAAAAACTAACCTAAGGCCTTACCGTAGTGCCACATCTTCCCAGAAGCCTCCTGGGCCTAGGGTTGTGTTCTTGTCCGATCTCCTGTCACACTGGAAGCTGGTATCACCCGCTTGACTCTGAAATTCTTGGTGGCGTGCCCTGGTTCTGTAACTTGCTTTACCTGTGCAGGCCTTGCCCTGTTACTGAGCTTGCAAAAGGCAGGAGCCAAGCCATCCTGACTCTGCCTTTTAATTTTCCAGTAAGTTCAGGCCGAGGGCCCAGCCAAGTGCTCGGCATCCTATGAGGTCTCACCTGACCTACTTATTAGGGGACTCTGGTACCCTTTCAAAACCCACTCTGTTAAGAGTCTAATCAGTTTGAGGTAAACTGGGCAAAAGCTATGGCTTCTTGGAAAACTCCTGTGGCATTCTTGCCAATACCCAAGGATAGGGCAGGAGAAATGGCTCTTTCCTGAGCAGAACTACCCAAACATGGCTTCTTTCTTGCCTCGCCTAGGCTGTCACTTACCATCTACTTATCTCTTTTTAGACAGAGATGAGGGCCACCTTCCATCCACTTCTAGGCACCTGGGCCAGCTTTTACCACATGCAGCACTGGGGCACTGACTGTACTTTACCAATGGTTGGAAAGCACAATTTAGACCCTCAAGGAGCTGGTTGCCATTAATGAGCACGCTCTGGAGAGCCAGCCAGGCAGGGACACCCAAGATGACAAACCCATCAGCACACGCAGCGCCCTGTTCTTAGTAGAGATTTAGGTCACTCGTAATAATGACAACAGTACCAGTGACTGTCCCAATCCTAGACTGTTGCCCTCTGCACTAGCATTTCTGCGGGGTGGTTCCAGCTAGAAATGGGTGAGCGTTTCTATGGTACTGGTCCTTGAGAGAGGCGTCTGATAACTGGGTCTGTGGGACCAGGCCCTTCATGGGAGCGATGCTGGAATTGGTGGCAGTGGAGGTGGTTCAACGACTGAAGACACTCAGGGGAAGGTTTGACTTGCTTAAGCATGGCTTTTGATGGGTCATCCCTATTTCTGCAAAAGCGGGATGATCAGTGTTTCATTTCCTTGGAGCAATTCTATGATTCCCCATCCTCAGGGACAGAATGAACAACTGGTCAACCATAGCACTTCTTTTGATGGTGGTGGGTTTGGTCTATGTTCAAATTCCCTAGACACTGGTCTGTTTTGATTGACCTTTATCAAGGAACAAAAGTTTTGTTTCCAGGCTCTCGTAGCCTATGGGCTGGCTTGGGCCATCTTTGTCGCTGTTGCTCCAGCAAATGGGCAATGGTAGACCTGTGTCTCTGGCCGAGGTTGTTCACCTCAAAGTCAAGGGCCTGTTTCCCTCTCCTCAAGACCCTAGCATTGGGCATCTGCATTTTGGCTGGGCTTCTCACATGCTACCAGGTCTCTCCCCAAACCCCTCCCCTTGTCACCAGAAGGTTCGTAGTGGGATGGCGCAGGGTCCAGAGGGGTCTCTGAGCTAGGCCTTTGAAGAGAAAGCAGCTGCTGTAAAGCTTTCTTACGTTCTCTGCCTCTAGCCCTGGAGCAGCTGCTGACGGAGCTGGAAGACTTCCTCAAGGTCCTCGATCAGGAGAACCTGAGCAGTACCGCCGTGGTGAAGAAGAGCGGCCTGGCCGAGCTCCTCCGGCTTTACATCAAAAGCAGCAGTGAGTGTGGCCCAGGGCCCGGGGAGAGCTGATCATGGGCGTGGGCAGAGGGTTGTATTGATGAGAGCTGCCATAGTGAAGTTTCACAAACCGCATGGCTTAAACAACAGACATCGATTTTCTTACAGTCCTGGAGAGCAAAAATCTGAGACCAATGTGTCTCAGGTTTGGTTCCTTCAGAGGACTCTCTCCCTGGTTTGTAGATGGCTGTCTCCTCCCCGGGTCTTTATACCATCTTCTCTCTGTGCTTGTTTGTGTCCAAATCTTGCCATCCTGTAAGGACATGGAACATACTGGATTACAGCCTACTCCAGTAGCCTCACTTATTGTTAATCACCTCTTTAAAGACCCCCCCTTCTCCAAATAAAGTCGTGCTCTGAGCTACTGAGGGCTAGGATTTAACATATGCATTTTGAGGGAGCACAAGTCAGCCCATAACAATGGTGTGACTTGAATGGGAGCCCAGAAACCTCTAGTGATTCAACACATCAGCCCAGAAATGAGGTTTTAAACAAAGTGTTTCCAAAGCACTTTTCCTCACCAGTCTCTCCCTTTTATCACCGAGTAGTGTTTCATTCTAAGAACATGCCGCAGCCCGTGTGCGTATCCATTCACTTGTCGATGGACATTCAGGCTTTTTCTACATTGGGACTATTGTGAATCAGGCTGCTCTGAACACTCTCTGGAAGGCTTCTTGTGAACATATGGTTTCATTTCTAGCACATTCAGATTTTTCTTTTTTTAAGAAAAGCCTTCTCATGAAGTTCTAACAATTGAGTTGAGTTTATTTTTATGCCAAATGTTAGAATTGGAAATGACGTTTGGGGACAGTAAGGGACCATAAGAGGGCATGCGATCCATCTGCCTCTCGGCAGGGGCAGCCTTAACCGGTGCCAGGCAGGGAAGGGACGTGCACCTGCTCTGGCCGTCGTTTCAGGCGGTTCTCTCTTTCGTCCAACCTGAAGCTGCCAGGCCACATTTCAAGGTCCCTCATCCTTTTCTTTGTTGCCAGTAGAACTAGTTTCTACTCTCTGAATAACAGAGATGTTGTAAAGCTGAACATGTTGCTATATGCCCGGCAGCCATCTCTCTGGTGACGTAATCCTGGCTCCCTTAGCCTTTCATCAGAGGCATTTGCCTTGAGTCCCTCGGTCTTTCAGCTCCAGGCCACCTCTTGGTTCCCAGGCTCCTCCTGTCTTTGTAGTGAGCGTCTGCTGGCCTGCCCGTGAGTGCTGGTCAGCAGCACATCAAAGGTGGGAACAGCAGATGGGAAAGCCACATTACAGAGCAGGTAAGTTAGAGAGGGATGACTCATCCACGAGAGGACACATCAGTGGATCTTTTAAACAGCACGCTCCCAGGCCCGTTGCCTTGTGCTGTGACCTGAGAATATTCAGTGTTAAAGAACCTCTGCTGGGAATTAGAAAACACCTCCGTAATGGGGTGTAACCACTCTAGCAGAGCCGCCTGTGTGGGATTCCCTTTTTGACCAAACGTGCTATGCCTCTTGGTGTAGGATGACCCTTGTTTCGTACTTGACCTTTGTGTGCTCTGCTCTTACAACACCAGGCCTTCCCACCCTTGGCCTCGGCAGCCTGCAGGAGGCTGCTGAGGACCAGCCAATGGGCTTCCCACCATGACTCACCCCCAGAGCACCACCCAGAGTGCTAAGAATAAACATGCACAGCTATACTGAGGCCTGTGGCTGTCACCTCTGTGCTTAAGGTTGACAGTCAAGTTATTAACAGCCATGGTTTGAGAACTTCCGGTCCCCTCGGTGCACCCTTCTTACAGCAGAGTGGTTGTAACAGCAGCTAACATTTTTTGTGCATTAGCCGTGTCCCAGCACTGTGTTTAATGTGTGAAATGACATGGATTACGTCATCTAATTCTCATCCCAAGCCAGTGAGGGAGTTGTTGTTATCCCCATCTAAACAGCAAGGGAACCGAGGTTTGGAAGGTCACTTGCTTGAGACGCACGGCCATGGGAGCCGCAGCCAGCGCTCGGGCAGGTGTACCTCACTGCTGTGCTGTCCTCGAACTCCAGCGTTTCAGCATGATCTCTACCACCCCGGACAGGACCCAAGGCCCCTGGAATAAAGCATCCGCTCTCCCTCCCAGCCTCACCCCGTATCGAGAAAATTAGCTCAGCCAGACAGAACATGCAGGTAGAGGCAGGCTGGCCATTTTGAGGTCGCCTGCAGTCCACGCTGGCTGAGCCGTTGCTTCTCTCACACATTCAGGGTGGACTGTGAGCATGGATAGGAGAGGCAGTTTACACTTTTCAAGCGGAATTCTCTGCTTGAGTTTTTTTTATCTTTTGTTTCCTTACTATAACAGTTTTTGGGTTTTTTTTTAAATGAACCTTGCTTTTTGTCTAGTTGGTGATGTCTGTTCACTGGGGGCCTGCTGTTCGTTCCTGCCTTTGCCAGTGAAGGCCCTGTCCCCCTCCCCACCAATATCGTGTTCAGGGACTATAGCGAAATTTCTGGGGTTGCCCATGGGGCAAAGAGGGTCCATGCCCCTCTCCCCGCTAAACCCAGTTCTCTGTGGGCAGGTTCCTTTCCCCACGTGCTCAGGGCATAAGGAGCGCTCCCTTCCACCCACATCTTTGGCTCTGGTTATTCCCGTACACCTGAGTAACTCTTCGATTTGTGTCTACTACATGCTTCCACTGCCCCCCGACTGTTGGGTTTACGAAGGTGGAGACAACGTCTATTTTGTTCTCTGCTGTATCCCCAGCACCTAGCATAGTGCTGGTGCTCAGGGCATGTCTGAAAATGAATGAGTTCTCCCTCCCAAGGCTGCTGCTTCCCGGCCATGGATGAGGGCCAGGTTCACTGGGCTTTTCCCATGATGCAGGTGGTCCTGGGAGCCTCCTACTTAACCAGCCTGGATGATATTGAATCAGCAACCCTCTGAAAATAAGCACCGAGTTGACCATGGCCTGCAGAATGTCCAGGGTGGGGGCGCAGCCCTTGGAGAGGCCAATGCGAGTCTTCTCCATAACTTACAAATCTCGCTCTTGGGAGGAAGCACCTGCTTAGAATTCCAACAGTTAAAACAATAAAAATATCTTGCTTTTTTTTGGTGAGAGTGTGGTCTTAGTCTACAGTAAGAACTACATGTAAAATGAACATGAGACATGATTTACGTTCCTTAGATTCCTTTTTTGATCTTTATCAGGATCATCTGAATATTCTTGTGTCGTCGTGGCTTGCCTCTGGATTCTGCTTTATATTATTTTTATGTTTATAATTGCTGCGCATGCATGTTTCCACGTGTTGACAGTTCACATACTTTTTCTGTTGTGCTATTCTGAAATGTGATCCCGCCATTTAACTGTAAGTCTTGGCTCTCTCTGTAAACAGCAGGCATAGAGCAACTTTATTTTTCACAGTTGTGTAGAGATGAGCAATATTGTTCAGTCAACCTCCTATTAGTGATCATTTAAGTTTTGTTCTCTTTTTTTTCTTTTAAGAAAGCTCATACAATATTGCAATCGTCATCCTCAAACAAAATTGTGTTTACATGCCGGAGTATATCTTCAGGGGAAATTTCTGGCATTGGAAATGCTGGGTCAAAGAACAGGAACACTTAAAATTAAATCATCCTCCAAAATCCCCTCCAAAATGGCTGTGGCAACTTATAGGCTCTTCAGTAACCTGATTCTTGTTCCAGGCAACATGCTCTTTTGTGTGTTGACGTGCCATGTCTTGTTTCACCATTTTCCTACGTTTGAGGCTAGGAGTTAGTTCCCTGTGTTAGGCTGTCATTTTTCATCTTTGTTATTTATAAGGTTACCTTACTTTTTCAAATTTCCTAGTATTTGAATTTTGGACTCTTGAACGCTTAACGGTTGGGTAGAAACAGGCAGTATTTCATCACAGTTGTTTTCCACATTGTGCAGACAAGAAGACCAAGGCCACGCAGCTACGGTGTTTTGCCCAGAACCGCATGATTATGGCCAAGCTTGGCCCAGGGCTCCCAACTCCTGTCTCCCCCTGCAGAACTCTTTCCCCCATGCACGCTCTGGAGAAGGTATTGATGCAGCCCCTCGGGGCCTCAGTAGGTGGACACATGCCAGTTGTGGCTGTGTTTGGGCCTCACGGTTCCCTCCACAAACTGCTGCGGCCTTTGGTGTAAGGGCGATGTTGCTGACTGGTCCTGGCAGGGCTGGACACTGAGCTGGTGATCCCGTGGGCTGAAGGCGGAAGACAGATGCAGTCATATCCTCCTCTTGTTACTCTGAGTTCTTAGGACTCTGCTTCTGCAGGCCTGTTGGCTCGTGTGTACGCGGTCTGTGGCGAGGAACTGACTGGCACTGAACTGCCTCCTTTGCAAGGGGTTTGAATTGGGTTCTTTGGCTCCGTAACACCGTCTGCAGCCACTGGAATTTATCAACCACAAGTTTCTAGGAAATGCAAGTTAAGGGCCGCAAAAGAACTGCAGGAGTGTTTGTAAGGGGAGAACTACTAAGATGAGCTTCCTCTGTGGGCTTCTGAAGAAAGGGTCCTTGGACATTAGAAACTGAACAGGTGTTAGGAGACTAGCCTTGCTCTGCCCAGGCGGACAATGGGAAAGTGACAGCCCGCACAGAAATTATTCTAAAGGAGAAGAGGGGATACGTTGCTGCAAGGTGAAATCTAGCAGGTAGCTACAAGTGCTCTAGTTCCAATTGCCAGTGCACTTGTCCCCCTAAATCCAGAGCTCATCATTTGGATTCCTCAGGCCCCCACAGAAGTCGAGGAGCTAAGCTTTCGGATCCTCAATGTGACCTATGTTATACAGACACATTGCTTTGATTAGCCCATGCAAGGAATTCAGACTAGGGTGAGAATGACTGATAGAAAAATATTTTACAATTAATATTAAATGCTAGGAAACCTAGAGAAATCTCTGCTTGGTGGAATATGAGGCAAATCTTTGAGGTATGGGGGAAATCTTTCCCTTTAAGACTCCTGTACCCTGACAGTAAACTAACAGTCAGCAACTTGCCATTTCTGTTTTGGGATATCTGTCGACTCCTTTCTGTTGGACTCTTTCAGTCAACTCAGTGTTATGTTTTTCCTCTTTCCTGGAACCCAAGCAGGTGACAACGTCTCTAGGGAACACCGTTTCTCTCTGGAAGCCCTTTCCCTTCGTGGACTCACACGAAGCTGTGTCTTCCCTTCACCCTCTGCAGGTTCTGATGAGGAGTACATTTACATGAACAAAGTGACAGTCAACAAGCAACAGAATGCTGAGTCCCAAGACAAAGGTATGGGGCTGGGGCTGCTCGTGGCATGGCCAGTTCCCAGGAGCAGGGAAGCCATGAGCCTCGGTCCTGTCCCGTCCTGCCTTCCTCCCAGCCAGCACCATACACAGGCCTGCTGGAGATATTTTTGGAAGTCACATTTTGGTTGATGGTATTTTGGGTTGACGTATTTTGGGATGTTTCACCGGGCCACCTCCTTGCCTCTTAAAGGTCTCACATCCCCCTTGTGGATGAGGAATTTATTCCTAAGATCTCTCAGCTTTCCCCAGCATCGTCCCAGGAATGGGAAGTCATAGTTTAAATGTTTTAAGAAAGCAGCTGTGGATGGTGCTGATCCCACGGTTTCAACTTTGCATCCTTTGCTAGAAGTCTGGATATTATATGTGTTTGGGGACCCTGGTGGGTGGAGGGAATGCTGGTGTCAGCAACTGCCTTAATATTAAAGGGTTTCCTCAAAGGTGCTCTTTTTGGCAGAATACTTATCTTTCATTGGAAGAACACAGTGTGTCTTCCATGCTCTCTTAGTGTCTGCCCTGTTATATTTGCAACTTTTCTCTGAAAACCTCCAGGAGTGGGGCCAGCAGATCCCAGGGAGATGCAGAGGTTTGCAGAGCTGCCTACATATAGAAAAATGATCATTAGAAGCCCCTTCTCTCAACTCTCTGTTACTCAAATGCAGAGGCTTAGAGAGAGGTAGAGACACAGCTCCCCAAAACCCTCAGTCCTATTAAAAATTTGGTTTCAAAACATCAGCCACCAAAGCCCCGAGGTCAGATCTGCCTGAACCTGTCTGTCCCAAGGGGCCTGGGCCACTGGCCGAAGCCATCAGACACAGAAGAGCCTTTGGTGCCTTTTCCTTAAAAGCACACAGGGGGTTGGTGGTCAAGTTCTTCAGTGTGGCTTTTCTACCTCCTGCCCCATCACCAAGGGGCTCAGCAGAGATGGTATGGAAGCAGCCACTATGCCAGAGGCCATTGGCCTTCCGGCTAAACTGTGGGAAGAAAAGAGCAGTAATCACAGGGTCAGAGCTGAGAGTGGCTTAATATAGTGACCACAGGGCACCTCCTCTGCTCCCCGAAGCTCTGCGGCTAGGCCATTTTTGACATGGGGCAGGTGGAGGAGAGGGTGCGGAGCCTGCCAGCAACCCAAACCAGCCCCTTCTGAGGAATCTGTGGCCGACGCAGCACTGCACCCTATTTTTGGAGGAAAAACAACCTTGGCTCCGGGGACCGGCTGCCTGGGTAATTAACACCTGCTCAAATAGAACTCCGGGCGCATGTGACCAGACATTCCTGGGTAATGAGAGCCTGCTGTGGGGCTGGGCGCCCCTCACCGGAGCCCTCTCCCGCTTGCTGCCCACAGGGCCCGAGGAGCAGAACCCCCTGACCAACGGGGAGCCCCGCCAGCATGCCACGGCGCCTCAGAAGAGTCTTCCGGACCTCCCGCCCCCGAAGATCGTAAGTGTGGGTCCAAGACCCCTGATTTCCCTCACGTGGCCCCCATGAACTTCTGGTTGTTTTCGCAGGTATCAGTCCGCCAAGTGTCTGGCCTTCTCTGAGTACCTACTGCGTGTCGGGCACGGAGCAAGGCACGGGGACAGGCAGAGCAAAAGGAAGCCCGTCTGCAGATGACGCCAATTTGCTCAGGGCCGCAGTACTAGGGTGCGAAGGGTAAAGGAAGTGGGCAATGAGCAAGATGACTGTTAGCAAGTGCCACGATGTGTCTGAGCCACGACAGGCTCTTTACCCAGCACCACGTGGGGCCGTGTCTGGGATGGTCACCAACGCAGGCCACAGTGAGCTTTTAGAGCTGTAAGTCACATCACACTGCACGTGCTGCTGGGAATCCGCCAGGGGTTCTCACCTGAACTTAGGAAATAGCATCCGCGTTTCTTAACATGGCCCCAGGGCCCACCTGGTGTGTCCCAGCTGCACCTCCAGCCTCCTCGCAGGTGCTCCTCACTGGCCTCCCTTCTGCTCCCGGACTGTGCCACGTGGTCGGTCCCACCTCAGGGACTTGGCACTTTCTGGGCCTGGTTCTTCAATGGCTGCTGCCTCCCCATCTCTTAGGCAGACTTACCCTGACCTGCCTACGTCAGGCATCCCACCTCCATCTCGCCCCAGTTCCTGCCTATCCCGCTGTCCAGCTACCACCTCCTTGGCGCTGGCCACCGTGGAAATGCTCTTGCATAGTATTTGCCTCCCAGGCCAGATATAAGCTCCCTAGGACAGGGACTTGTCCATCATTCAGAGTCTAATGGCCTGTGTCTGCACACAGTGAGCCACACACACATGGATGGATGGGTGGGTGGATAAATGGAAGGGCGGGAGGGAGGAAGGAAAGAAAGGACGATGGATGGAATTATGGAATCATAAGCCTGGGTTCAGATCCCAGCTCTGCCAGGTACCAGCTCTCTGACCTTGAGCAAGTTATTAAGATCCCTGGCTCTTCTTTCCTGGTATTTAAATGAGAAGAATGTGAACATCTCTCTGAAAAGATTGTCTTATTCAGTGGGCTAAGGCTGTGTGTTAGTATTCAGAGAGATAAGGAGTAATGTTATATTTTACGGGTGAGGAGCCTGGAATCAGCAGGTTTAGATGCCTGAATGTCACATAGCCTCGAAGTGGCAGAGCCAGATTTTGTACCCGAGCTCGCTCTTCTAAAGGATCCAGTTGGGGAAGCTCTCGCGAGGTAGGAGGCGAGAGCTGGGAAGGGTTTCTGTGGGGCAGGGGTTCTGAAGGGTCGGCACCAGCAGGAAGCCACGTGACTCCAAGGACCTTGCGCTCCTACCAAGCCATCTGTCGTCCAGATCTGTGGGCTGAGGTTGCCGCAGAGGTGACCTTGACCCCAGGCCGGCCCCCTTCATTCCTGTCTTCCTGGGAGGGGGGGACAGGTGTCCTCAAGCTGCTCTCCTGTGGCCACACTGGGGGGACCCAGAGTGCCTGGGACCACACCCCACCGCCTGAGGCTCCTTGAGCTGGGTGACGGCTGGCAGAGACTCTTCGTCTCAGGCTGGGTGTGACCGAGGGACTGAGCCCTGGGTGTCCCCACTACGCTGACAACTCTGGTGAGAGCCACACTCCAAGCTGCCCCCAAGCATGGTCGTCCTCACCGCCTGTCAGGAGGGGCCTGCGTTTGCTAGTTTTTTATATGAAGAAACAGGGGCTCAGGGAGTTAAAAGAACTGGGCCCGATCCCTGCATTGGGAGATGGCAGGGCCAGGAATCGAATGCAGGTTCCCGCTGCTCAGGCCGCTCTATGGCCTCCCGGACTGAAGCTGCTCTTTTTAGCAGAGCCAAGGCCCTGGTACCCTTCCTTCCAGAGAGCTCCCCGTAGCTTTCTGCCCAGTACGTGGGGAAGACGGCACGCGCCCATCTGCTTCCTGCAGCTGCTGCTGGCTGCGGCCCTGTGGGAGACTCAGCGGGTTCTGGTGTGTCCCAGGTGCCACTTGCTGGGGATCGAGGAGGGGAGGTGGCCGCTCAGAGCTAGGGCAGGACTGTTCCTAACCTGAATTCAGCATCGGATTCTGACCCAGGGCTTTTGGCTTTTGTGCAGCGGAAGTGCCACCACTGGCCCCAGCTGGGGCAGCAGCTGGTGGGTCCACACCTGGCTGGAGGGTGCGTTTCCCCTGTGGAGTCTCACAGGCCCCAAGCCCCAGGCGGGGCTGCGTTCTGGAAGTCTGTGCTTTGCAACTGTGGGCGTGGGCTGGGAGGCCCAGGGTCTGGGGCCGGGCTGCAGTCACAAACCTGCAAGGTCCCAGTAGCCCCGCAGGTTCCAGTGCCAGCTTTTACTTTGCCAGTCACCTGGGGCATGAGGCTGGAGGGCCCCCGAGCTGGGATGCAAGATGCAGGGCCGTCCGGGGCCAGGAGAGGCTCTGTCAGAGTTGGAGGGGAAACCCGGTGCCAGAGCTGGGGAAACTGTCACCACCCAATAGCACAGGCCCTGCAGAAAATGTTCCCATGAACAAACTCCAGGCCCAGGGGAGACTGCCAGCAAAGCAGCCGGCTTTCCAGTCTTTCCTCCTCGTGGAATTTCTCTGCTGAGAAGGACAAGGGGTGCGGACTGCAACTGCCTGTCCACGGTCTTCCTCCTAGTGCTACCCTGGGCACCCACCCTCAACCCTGGGAGCTTCTGGATGTGGAGTAAAAAGGGGGGCGCTGGCGTAATCCGGGGTCTCTCCCCGTCCCAGCATGCACGCGCGCACACGTGCCTGCTCTCCCTCAGGCCTCCTCTCCCAGCAAGTCTGGCTGAAGTGGCCATAGCTCTTGGTCCAAGGCCCCACAGGAGTGGCCTCAGGGTGGAGTGGGTAACAGCTGTGTCTTCTGGCTCTGAGGGCGGGGGAAGAGGTGGGGGGACCCAAGCAGCAGCAACAGTTTGGGAGCATGAGCTTGGAGTGGCCCTCTCCAGACAGAGAAAGCCACAGCCCTTCCCACCCTGGCCCCAGAGCTTCAGGGTGCCCAGGTGGCCCGTCTACCTCAAGGCCCAGCCCCAGGCTTGCCGGTTGCTGCGGCAGGAGCTGGATGTCCGCCTGGGCTCCCCCGGGTCTATGGCTGCGCCAGGAGTATGGCCTCTGCCCCAGGCGCTCAGGAGGTCCTGATTCTCTCTCTGGTGGCTGGGGCCCCCCTCCATTCCCCCTCAGAGTCCATGGACAGCAGATCTGACCAGCAACGGGAAGGTCAGCCAGGGGTTCAGCCAGGGGTTCAGAGCAACCTCGTGGGTGTGGCTGGCGACTCCAGTGACTCAGGCAGCTGTGGCACTTCCAGGCTGCTGACAGCACAGCCAGGTGCTGTGGTCACTGCGGGAGAGACAGATGGTTGCTGGCACTGTGGATGCTCCTGGCCCGCAGAGCCATCTCCGCCCCGTGTCCCCTTAGAGGCCTGGACACGCATTGCTGCTGGTTTCAAGTGAGCTGCTCTGTGGGGGGGGAGGGGGAGGAAGAGGGGGAGCAGCTTCCTGTGCAAAGGACATTGTCCATGGCCAGTGTGGGGAGCCCCCACCCAGGACCCTTCCGCAGTGCATCCTGGGGCAGGCCGCTCAGACCTTCGGGGCTACCTCAGGCCACCCCTTATCTCCAGCTCTCATCTAAATCACAATCAGCAAAGACAGCCCCCTGGCCAAATCCACACCTACCTGCTTTCTCGGGAGGCAAGTTTTACTGGAACACAGTCCCACTGATTGAGTTTGTATCATCTCTGGATACTTTAGCCCTGCGTCAGCTGACTCGAATAGCCGAGATTATTGACCCTGAGGGCCTGCAGATCCCGAAAGTATTTACTGTTTGGCCCTTTACCGAAAACATCTGCCGACCTCTAGCAAATCATGCTGAGCTGAGTGGCTTTCCTGTCCCTGCCTGTGAACCTTCAGAAAGTTATTTCAGGCTTTGAAATCACATCTCTTCTACATCTTTAGTTAAGATGCGTAATCATCATCTTCAGCATCATCCCAAGGATGATGATTAAAATAACAGCTCTTTATTCTTAACCCTGGGAAGTTAGGACCTCTTGCTCCTTAGACCTCTGATACAGGCCACTGTGTCTGTGTAACACTGTGACTGTTTTTGGAATTATGTACATTTTATCTTTTAACTTGACCTGAGGCCTTATCTTTTGCCCAGCAGGCTTAAGGGCGGGGACTGTCTTTTTTAAAGACACAGAACTTCGTATAAGCCTGGTCAAGCCCAGCGTCTCCTGCCTCCCCAGGGCACGTCTGTTCTTCTGCCATCAAACATGTATAGGGGCAGCTTTGCTTCCTCTGATCGACACTTTTATACTTTTTAGGTTAGTGAAAGCTGATACTTGCTGAGTGTTTCCTAATGCTGAGCCCAGTTTAGTCCTCACAACAGGCCCCACCCCCGCCCCCCACACCTGAGAGGTGTTTCAACTCTCTTTCCCCATTTTGCAGTGGAAGAACGGATACCCAGAGAGGTCCAGTAAGGTGCCCAGAGTCACACAGCTCAGTGGTGCCAGCGTCAGGGTTCATGCCCCAGGCCCGGAGGTCGGATCCCCGTCACTGCCCTGCCTGTACTGCCTCTCCCTCTACGTCCCTTTATAGGTGACTTTACAATGACAGGCTTGTACTAACACTCCCTGTGCCTGACCTCCCCACCCCCACCAGCTGCCCCCGACAGGGCAGTCAGGCCAGGACGAGTGCCCTCAGAAGGCTCCATCCTGCCTCTGTCCCGGTCCCCTGTCGCAGGGGTGCGGACGGCTGCTAGATCGTGGGTGCTCGGAGCCCCTCTCCAGATGGGACCCACCTCCTCACCAAGAGAAGGGTCCCGGCACCACTGTGAGGGCGTGGAGGCCAGCGCTGGAGGCCCGGTAGCTCGGGAAGCATGGGCCCCAGGACCCACATGCGGAGACCTTGCTCCTGCCCAGGTGAGGGGACACTGTCCCCCCAGAGAAACCGGCCCTCAGAGGAGCACAGCTGGGTCTCCTGAGCAGCCCCTTCTCAGGCTGACCGAGGGGCCAGGAATGGCCAAGAGGAGCGGAAACATCTGGCCAGGCTCATGGCAGCCAAGGCGCAAGGTCACCCACTAGCAGCTACTGATGACATACACCGTGTGCAAGGCCCCAGCCACGAGGAAGGCACCCGGCCGAGGGGACACCCACAGCTGAACCCCTTCAGCAGCCACACCTGCCGGCTCAGCACAGCAGCTGGTCTGCTTAGGACAGGAACAGAGTATTCTGTTCCTTTCTGCGCATTGGGTGTTGCATCTGCTGGGGTGAAAGCTATTCAGAGTCTGCCTCTGGGACCCATAGCAGCTTTCTTGGTGTGAAGCCAGATAAAGTTAAAAGGGTCCTGTAGGGACGCAGGCTGTGGCCTGGCCTCTCCCACCCTACTTCCTGTGGTTCAGTCTTCCCTTGTCAGATGACTGTCCAGTAACTGGTTCCTGTAGACCCCTGGGTTGTGGAGACCCAAGACAATGACAACCACAGCTTCCTTGTATCTGATATGGACCAGGCCCTGCAAAACCCTATCACATTTTCTCTTACTGAATCCTCAAGACAACCCCAGTGCTATTCTTGTTTTACAGAGGCAGGCAGCGCGTGGGGCTCTGAGAGGCTATCACTGACCTACACTTAAATCTGGAGTCCTACAGCCTGGATTCAAACCCAGTTACATTCACCCCAGAGTTCACATAAATAGACTTTCGATGCCAAGCCACACAGGACTTGGCCCAGGGAGCGTGATTTCGGTGAACAGCTGCAGCATCCCTGTGCCGTGGGCGAAGCTGGGAGAGGACACTCTCACAGCCCGTGCTAAGTACCGTTCCACGGGGACCCGAGCCCAGCCTGGCTGTCTGGGCTTAGGGCCCTGCGGGCGTCCTTCCTTTGGCTATGTCCTCTTGGTGGCGCCCCAGCCTTTACCTTAAGAGTGTCCGCTGCTGTCACTTGACGTTCCCCAAAGGCCCAGGCCTGCCGTTCAGGTGGACTCCTCAAAACCAGGAATGAAAAGGCGCTTGAGGCCGTTTCTGAGCTCAGCTCATTATGAATACTCCCTTGGCCCTCCGCAACGGTTTCCTGATTCAGACAGAGCTGCAGCCTCTGTGGGTGGGCGCTTCTGTGCTTATGACCCGCTACAGTGCTAGTCATGCAACAGTCTGTCTCTTGTGTCTCCCCTGCAATTGCTTGTAAGATTAGCTTCATCGTCTGGTGCCCGTTTTACAGGTGGAATAATGGAGGGACAGAGACGATTTCACGCACCGTGCTTTTACACAGTTGAATACGTTTTTTATTCTATTCAAATTGTGCTCCTCCCGCCCTTATGCCACATAAGAACCTAGGGTTGTTTTTGAGACTCAGACCAAAGATACTGTTACCTGAGCATCCTTCCTTGCTCCTAAATGCTCACACCCTCCTGGTGCCTGCAGAACTTTGACCTTGTCTATTATTGCACTGTTCACGATGCACTTGATCAGGAGCTGTGAACAAACATTCACTACCTAGTTAATGTTTCTTAGGACTAACAGTCTTGATACATCCATTGCAGCTAGTATGTAGGAGGCATCCAACACTTGCTAAATGAATGATTGAACTTATTATGGTAAAAGTTTCTAAATCCTCTGAAACCTGGTCATCTTCTATGAACCTCTCATCAGCCCTTGTCTTTTTAGAAAGCGTATTCTATTTAGAAGCCATAGTTGCTACTGCAGCAACCTAATATCATCTGAACTTCATGTGTGTTATGTGTCACGGGCGTGATGATATTTTATGTGTGCGGTGGGGGTCTGAGCACATTTTGCAGAGGAGAAAGCCGAGGCTCGGTGAGGTCAAGCACCATGCACCGCCTTCCCTGGGGTGCAATGCAGACACCGTGGACGTGGGCCTGGTGCTCCCTGTCCTCCCTCCCAAATTGCTTCAAGTCTAGCTGGGCATGTTTTCTTCTGGACTTCCCCCTCCTTCTACCCAAAGGGCCCATCCCAAGTTGTTGCCAGTGTAATGCATCTGAAAAACTTTTGTTTTATTTGTTCAAACCACAGAGTGCAGAACGGAAACAGCTTCCCATCCCAAAGATCGAGTCTCCGGAGGGTTACTATGAAGAGGCTGAGCCATACGATGTGTCCCTCAACGGTACATGCCGGGGCCAGGGTTGGGGCTCGGAGAGGGTCTAAGCACTTCCTGCAGAGAATGCCGGTGCTGGAAGCAGAGGACAGCCCGGGCTGCTGTTAGCAGTGAGTGTTGTCCAAGTTGAGGATTGGCCACAGAGCGCTGAGCTGAGACCTACCGCAGACCCAGCCCGCCTGCAGGCAGGGGTCGGCCTGGTCCATAGGAGCTGGTTTATGTGCCAGATGCTTCCCGTGTTCCCGCCTGGGTGTGGCTGGATTCAGCACAGAAATGTGTCAGGAGACAGGTGTGTAGGCAAAGGGGCCCCAGGCGCTCGGGAACAAGGGAAATGTGGTCAGACTGAGCCTGAGACCAGTTCCCAGGGTTCTTTCACTGGACTGAGAGCTACTATCTGGCCCCCGCATGCCAAGCATGCTCCCAGGAGTCAGGGACTCAGGGCCAGAGAGCTCAGCAGCCCCAGCCTTTCGGTTGGGTGTGTCAGGTGATGATAAAGATGGAAACCAGCCGGGGCTGCTGGCTTGCAGCAGGTGGGGGCTGTTACTTCAGATAGGGAAGGCCTCTCTGCCGGTGTGACCGAGAGTGAACCGGGAAATGCATGGGGCAGAAAACTGCGGGGAAAAGGCTTTCCTGACAGCATAGCACATGCAAAGGCCCAGAGGCAGGAGAGCTCTTGGCACGTGTGCAGAAGAGCAAGGAGGCCCACGGAGCAGAAGCAGGGGAGCGGGAGGGGCGCGGGGAGAAATAGGAGATGTGGATGCAGAAGTCAGCTGCAGATCGCGGTGAGGGCTGGCTTCCCCCCGAATGGCCTGCAGGGTGCTTGGCGGCTGACCTGGGTAGTAAAAAGATCACCTGGGCAATGGGGCAGGGCTCATATTGGGGCCACCTGTCCTTGGCCAGTGGTTGTCAGCCTGAGGAAATCAGATCAGAAATGCTCTTGGTGTAGGAATTCCTGAAAACAGGAACGCCCCAAAGGTTCTGGAAGAAAGAGATCGCTCTGACTTTCTCTTTCAGGCAGCTGGACTCTGGTCCTCCCACTGCCCCCTCCTTACCTCCTTCCCTGCCCCTCCTTTGTAAGGGAAATGTCTTTGGAAGCAGAAGGCACTTTGCAGATATAAGAGATGAGGGCCGGGCCCGGGACGGGGATGCACTGAAAGGGGGCGTCGTGGGTTCCATAAAGGACGGGACGGGGATGAGACAGGACCCTTTACTTCAAGGCAGGTAGGAGGAGCCTTCTCTGCCTTCATATTTCACCTGCTACCCATGGGCCCAGGGGCTGTGTGGGAGGTGAGGGCCTGTTTGGTCTGAGTTTATTTTCTGCTAAGAAGCTGGCTTGGTGGGCAGATGTCACTTAGCTTGAATTCACTGAGTGTGTGAGATGTTTTGGAGTCACCGGCCAAGCTGTGATTTCCGAGCAAAGCTGAGGGCGTGTGGCAGCCATCTGGCTGCATCTGGAAGGGGGAAGAAGTGACTCACCGTGGTGGGCACCTCACCTCCCTAGCGTCTTAGGCCTGGGGCACTCGCTTGGGTGTGGCCTGTGCCAGTCGGGGCCTGCCTCCCAGACGCTCCCAGGAGCCTGTTTGCGGGGCAGACACCACATCACAACACAAACAAGTGCTCAGAAGGCCCTGAGCTTCTTGGTGTCTGTCTCTGGACTGTGAATTCATACGGGGGATTTGTCCCGAGGGCAGCAAGGGCGTGAGAAGATGCCAGATTGCCTTTCCTCTCCTGCCAGGACCAGGACCAAGGGCGGCGTGGGGAGGACTGGCCGCAGCTGCCGTGCAGAGGCGGCTTCGCCTGTGATATAAGCCAGCCTGCCCTCTGCTCCTGTCTGTTGTCCCCCGTACCTGTTTGGATAGTAAGACACACAGGTCACAACAGGAGGAATGGCCGTTGGCCTTCAGCCCCTGGTTGTAGTTCGTTGGCCAACTGTGATTTTGCTGACTTCCTGCAGAAGACCACTGTCTTGGTTTCTTGTCCTGCTGTGTCAGCACTGTCCCCACACGGTCTCACAGGGTCAGAGTCCTCTCTCCCAGTAAAACTGTAGGAAGAGTCCCGATGGCCCATGCAGGGGACAAGAGTGTCTGTCTTGCTCGCCCGAGACCTCAGCTCCTTCACTGATGATGCCTGCTGTTGGGGTGAGAGCCGCACTAACAGGTCACCCCCTTCCGGGTCACGGGGACACAGTACCAGTGCGCTTTCCACCCAGGGCGGCTCAGTGTGGTGTTACGGGTCCACCAGTAGTACAGGTGCCCAGGCTCCTTCCAGCGTGGCTCGACCACCCTCTGAGGCCACAAAATCCTCTGTGAAACGAAAGTGGAGAACCACTACGTGGTTCTTAAATGTGCCAGCCACAGGGACACGCATCGCTTCCACCCACATTCCATTGGTGACGGGTAGCCATGTGGTTGTCTCTGCACGCGAAGGGGCTGGGCAGTGAAGTCCGTGGCCGGGCCCAGGCCTCTCCGGACAAGCTCAGGCCCCCAGCGGGAGAGCACTAACACCTGGGCACGGGCAGCCACCCCCTCCTCATCTGGGTGCACTTGTGCCTCTGCTCCTCGGTCCGTCCCTGCCTTCACCTTGTCTCTGTCTTGCTTTTGTGCTTCTGGATATCACACAGGTCCTCCTGGCAGAGTTCCCCCCACTGGAGTCCCCAGATGGGTGCAGGTGCCCGAAGGAGTCATTTACGCCACCATCACCTTGGGTACTGCTTGTCCCCAGAGCGGAATGCCGGTGATTCCGTGCCTGCTGCCTGGCTCTCAGAGACGGGGCGCTTGCCCCACGCGTGGCCACTGCTCTCCCCCCGTCCTTGTGCCTGGCTCCTGCATGCCGTGTGTCACCCTGCCACACACCCCTGCCTGTGGCATCCACACGCGTGGCTGAAGGACTCAGTGCTGCTTGGTGGTTCTGCCCCCTCTTCCCGAGGACAGGCTACAGGACACAGTGGCGACTGCAAACAGGGGGATGGAATTATCGGATGACCCTGCCTTTCACCTCAGTTCACCCTGGGACCCCAGGAAGCCAGTTTCTGGTTTAAAAACATCCCACATTTATGGAGGGGCTATGATTGCTCTCTCGGGAGAAATAAAGGTAATCCATTTACCCTCAGTTTCCTCCAAGCTGCTCTGGGTAGCTTGACGTACTGCGATGTGCTGTTTCTCCTCAGTTAGTCCCCTGCCCCCGGGAGGGGACTGGGCAGGTGTTCGATTTCTCTTTGGACCATGTCGGGCAGCCCCAGAAGCACAAATCAGCAAGGGGCTGGGCCGATTTCTTCACACTGAAACCCATAGCCTCCCACGTTCATTTTTGTTACTGAAGGGGGAGGTGCCCCAGTGACATTGCCTTTTCTCCTTAATTCACTTACTGTACAGATAATAACAATCCTGATGGTGATGACTTTTCTAAAAAATAAAGTCACCCTCAGCTTCCCACCAGATCAAATCGACTATTTTGGATTCTCCCTGTTGGCATTCAGTACTGATCTCTTTGCATCTTATGATTTTAAGTGTGCTTTTTCGCTTACCCTCGTATTTATGGAGTTGCAGAGCAGTCTTCAGAGTTTTCATGGATTATAGCTGCGCGGGGTGCAACTATAATCATACTTTTCCCATTCCTCTTCTGCTGACTGTTAAATTGCTTGAATTAATATCTTAATGCATGTAACCTTCCCCCCCTTCCTTCCTTTTTCAGAAACCAGTTTCCTAAGATAAACTGCCAGGACCGGGATTACTGGGTCAAAGGGTACGGGTGTTTTTCTGGCTCCTGAATCAACAGGCTGCCAGACTGTTTTCTGCACGAGGTTCGTGTTAGTTTATGTGGCCACCAGCAGTGGGAGAGTTCAGGGTCCCACATGGGGCAGGGCCACTGTTTTCAGTCTTTGCTTGTCTCACGGGTATAAAATTAAGAACCGTGCAGCATTTTTATTAAGCCAGGAAGGGGAGCAGTCCCACGCTGCCCTTAAAGAAAACCGCTATGAAAGTGTTTAAAGTGCTACTTTTAGAAATATGAAAACAACACAGAGCACATTCTTCATTGGCATTGTAGCGAGAATAACTATGGCAGTGGCCTCATGCCATTTCCTATATTCGAATTCCAAGGTGGTTCTGCCTCCTTTGTATGCGGGAAGCTAGCCATGCAGATCCCAAAAGGGACTTCTGAGGAAGGGAAGACAAGAGATGTTTCTCTTCTGAAGGGTATCATGGAGGAGGAGAGAGAATTCACTGCCCTGACTCCAGGAGAAAGAACATGTCTGTAGAAGTCATAGGGAAGCAGACGATGGGCCCACTTTCTAAGTGTTGGAGCTCCTCAGTAATAGAAGCAATAGTAAGGTAGTGAGCTCCCTGTCCATTGGGGAATTCAAGCAGAGGCTGGAGCAGCATCAAGGTTATAATAGACAGGATTCCTGGGTTGAGCCAGGGGTTGGACCAGGGACCCTGATGTTCTCTGTGTTCTGCTTTCTGGGGTGTTATTGACTTATTTTTCTCTTCGGCTGGTTTTTGTTTCGGCCTTCGATAATGCAGCGAGGCCTGGAGAATAGATCCACTCTTGCAGGGTAGCGGGGGAGACGCTGAGGTGTGTGGAGTGTGCCTAGGTTTGGGTCCAGTTTGTTCTTGGTGAGTTTTGGGAGTCTTCCGAACAAAGACGTGAGGTTGGCTCGTTGCCAGAGGTGGAGGAAGTATATGAGTTGGGGGACAAGTAGAAGAGTGAAGCCTGTGCTGAGAGGCATTCGGCGAGACGGGAAGAGAACACAGTCTGTGGAAGATACAGACTCTTTTAAAAGGTGATGACTATGCGGGGTCACTGAGGAATGGCTAGATGGCCCCTTCCCCAGAAAGCCATTTCCTGCCGTGGTTTATTTTGCCTTATCTCCCAGGAGCCACACCCCCGCCCCAGTCCTAGTACAGAACCAGGGACAGAGCAGGCCCCGCAGGGCAGGCAGCTGGCCATGTGCCCTTCTCTGGGCTCAGATGGTGACCCCTTCCTCCCGGCTACTTAGAATGACCGAGCCCCGGGCTCAGGAAGATCCTCACGCCACCGCTCACCCTTCCGATGACGCACAGGGGCCCCCGGCGGGGAATGGGCCTTCTCCAGGGCCAGCAGTCCGTCGGAGGGCAGTGTCTTGCCAGGTGTCTCTGGATTCTGAGATGACAGTTTGAGGAGGAAAAGGGAAAGACTTCTGGTTTTGTTATTTGTATGTGTAGCCAGAGACAGAGACATCCAAGAAGCTTTGCTCAGGGGGTTTTGGGACCGGAAAGTCTACCTGGGTCTGTGGTCCACAGCTGCGGGGCTGGCTTAAGGTCATAGAGGGGCCGCTGGGTTGGGGCCTGGGGGCCAGTGGCCGCTCCTGCCTGCTGCCTGCTCCCCGCCCTTCTGAACAAACCAGCATGTTCAGGAACGTCCGCTGCCCTGCCCAGCGGGGATCGGGGATGTGACCAGGCGGGTCTGCCTTGCAGAGGATGGAGAGGCTGTGAGCAGCTCCTACGAGTCCTACGATGAGGATGAAAGCAGCAAGGGCAAGTCGGCCCCCCACCAGTGGCCCTCCCCCGAGGCCAGCATCGAGCTGATGCGCGACGCCCGCATCTGCGCCTTCCTGTGGCGCAAGAAGTGGCTGGGGCAGTGGGCCAAGCAGCTCTGCGTCATCAAGGACACCAGACTCCTGGTCAGTTGGCCTCATGTCGTGTTCTGGTCTTTTCTCTCCTTTTTCGGGGGAGGGTGGACGAGGGGGTGGTCCCTCATACCCCGTGATCGGATCCTTTTATAGCAGATTTTCGCCGATCCCTGACCCTAAAATTGTATGTACAATCTTGCAGGTGTGAATGAATGTTCTCTCTTTTTTTTTTAATTTGGTTTTTATGGTTTACTATTGCCAAAAAAATTAATTCAACCTAAATCTGATCAAGCTTCTAGGAATGGGTGTTTTCTGAATGAGAAAAGTCTAGTCGTTTTCATCACTCTCACAGGGGCTCTGGGGTAACCACACCCCCATCCCATCCCGTCCCGTCCCATCCTGCCCCATCCCATGCACATTTTTTCCGGGGACCTTTTTGTCCCCCCTCCGAGAGCCCGTTCTTTCTCCGTCCAGTCCAGGCCACCAGAGGCTTTGGGTGGAGCCTCCTGCCCCGCCCTAATCCTGGCTACTGCGTTTGTTTGTGCAGCGTGAAATCACAGGTTAGGTGTCTTCTCCAAAGTCATAGCATTTTGAATTACTGAGCCCAATCCTTAAAGGACTCAGATGATACTAATCTGACCACTGCCCTGTTTCCTGCTATTTTATATTAAAATTCACAGCCTTGTGTCCTGCTGTGAAGTAGCATAGCATCATTATAAGCACCCTTTCTTCCCTGGTCACAGCATGCCCTGCGCTGTGCACGTAGTCCCTCAGGTGATCCTGTGAGGGCCCCCCTTGTGCACCTGAGAAACTGAGGGGCCCAGTGTTTTCTCTGGTTGGAGAAGAAAGTCCCTTCCTTTCTTTGCTAACGACGTCATCTTCCTAACTAAGCGGAGGTTATCTTAGCCTTCATTCCCTACGGACCCCCTCCTGGGGGAACTGAGCAAGAAATGCAGAGAGGTGGAGAGATGGGACAAGTGTTCCACCCTGGATACGCGGGTGTCGCCCTCAGAGGACACGCTTTAGGAGCCAGCCCAGTGAGACGAGAGCAGCTAGGACAAGCAGAGTCCTGGGCGTCCCTGGCTGAGGCCAGAGAGGCGGCGGCTGGCGGGAGCAGAGGCCAACCTGCCTGGTCGGGCGCTGCCACTGAGTTGCTGATGTCTGAGGTTTCAGCTCTGCACTTGCACTAGGGCATCGGGCCTGTAGGCTTTGGTGGGCAGAGCCCAACTCTAGAAGGTATAAGCTTTGCACCAAGAAGTGGGTCCTGCCATGCCCGGTGGCCCCTCCTTTGCAGACCCTGGCAAGGCCTGGCCCCGCTGCAATGCAACATCTTATCTGTTTTCTTCCAGTGCTACAAATCCTCCAAGGACCACAGCCCCCAGCTGGACGTGAACTTGCTGGGCAGCAGTGTTGTCCACAAGGAGAAGCAAGTGCGAAAGAAGGAGCACAAGCTGAAGATCACGCCGATGAATGCCGATGTCATCGTTCTGGGCCTGCAGAGCAAGGACCAGGCCGAGCAGTGGCTCAGGGTGAGGGAGCCCCTAGGCTGCTGCGGGGATGGGCCTGCTTCTCTCTGGGGCTCCCGGCCGGGGGGTGGGGGGGTGGGGGCTGCAGGTCGGGCTCCCTTTCTTTGCCCAAAAGGAAAGGATGCTGTTCGGGGAAAGGGTCTGCGATCCAGTTCCCCGGGCCCCCTGCCTCCTGAGTGGCAGCCATCAGTCTTAGGGAAGTGGGTCACAGACCCCGCTGCTGGCTGTGCGCCCTTCTCAGTCACCTGGACTTGGGGCTCCAGTTGAAATCATTTTGTTTTCTGACCCCTAATGAGCATCACCAGCCTCCTTATTAAAGAACACATGTGGCTGCCATTTGTTAGGTGCTTGCCATGGGCCATGCACTTGTAACAAATTTAACCCCCTTAACCCCACGGTAGGGAGCTGAGCTATGTTAACGTCCCCAGGTAAGTGAGGGGCAGCGTCACGTTTCAAACCTAGAACCGTCTGACTACAGTCCTGTGTTCTGCCCGCACTTTCTGCGATGTGGCCCCAGGATAAAGTACCTGGGAGGGGCCTGCCTGCCCCTATTAAAAATGAGCTTGACGATTCCAGAAGGTATAAGCTTTGCACCAAGAAGGGGCCCACAGTTGCAGAGGGATCTCCAAAGCCAGCAGGTCCCCTGGTGAGGCCAGAGGGAGCCAGAGAGAGCCAGAGAGGCCCCTTCCTTCCTTCTGCCGAGCCCCTCCTCCATCACAGCCACATGGATGCATTACCAGAGCAGGAGCTTAACCTGCCCTCCACCCCCACCCATACCCATGCACACACACACACACACACACACACACCTGCAGGTACACACACTTGCACGCACACACCTGCAGGTACACACACTTGCACGCACACACCTGCAGGCACACACACTTGTATGCGTAAATGTGCATGTGCACACACAACTGTCTACACAGACACACGCATGCGCACATTTGTGCACACCCACACTGCTCTTGCGCCCAGTTCCCAGTGCTGCTCAGGTCCATCCCGATTCTAGCCTCTCCCCAATTCTCGTGCCGTCTTCCTGAGACCCCTGCCCTTACCCTGTTCTTGCTGGTGGGGTAAAGACGAGAACACTTGGAGAAGACACAGCCTGCCTGGCAGCCCTTGCAGAGAGGCCCTTTCCTCCCTGGCCAGATGGGCACAGAGGTGGTGGCCTTGGCCGTGAGGGCCTGGCTCTTGAGAATCCAGGCCCATTTGCAGCGGGTGGTTAGCCTGTCCAGTGGGGTCTGGACCAGACGCCTCTGTTGTGTCAGATCTGCCTGCCTGCCCGGGGCCTCTGTGTCTCAGCTCTGCCTAATGGTGCCTGTGCCCACAGGACGGGACGGGTATATGACAGTAAATGGGGGATGGTGCGTGTGGGACAAGAGTCCCAGAAAAGGCAGGCACAGGGCACAGCTCTCCCAGAGAAATGGAAGCCCCACGCCCTGGAGCCTGGACTCCTGGCTTAGCGCGCTTCCCCTGGGCACGCCCCCAGCTACGAGGGGGACAGCAAACTGGCCTCTCACGTTCTGGGTCCTTCATCCACCAGAGCCCACAGCTGCCCGCGGCACAGGTATGGCCCCGTCTTACTACAGGTGTGGGGACTGAGCTCAGACCCACGGCCAGTCTCAGGAAAGAGAAATGCCTTCCGTTTCTCCTTCCCCAGAGCCATTTTTCCTTTTGTTCTTTGGCTTTTCCCATTTTAACCCCTTTCCATGAGCCACACTATGCAGAGGCTGAAAAAGGAGGGTCTTTGAAATCACTCTTGCTAAGTCCACACCCCCAAAGGGCTTCTGGCCGGGCAGTGTGTTTGTGGCCACCCTGGGCTGTTACCTGCTGGGACTCCCCCAGGTGGCCCCAGCTCAGAGCACGGGGTTGCTGCTGAGCACAGCCAGAGCCACCTCTGACCGGCGTGTCCCCAGCCTCGGCCCACAGAGCTGAGGGCTCTGTGCTCTGGCCACATTTAGGCTTGGTTCTAAAAGCCTCCCTGCCCCCTCTGTCCATCCCCAGAATATGTGGGGGCCTGCAGGAGACAGGGGGGCTAAGGAACAAGCCCACCCCTCACCCCCGATCGCAGCCTGCCCAGCTTGGTCCCAAAGCCACGCGCAGGCCAGGTGTTGGGGTTGGGCGGTTCTCTGTTCTTAGGAAATCGTGCATGTTCTCTCTCACCTCTGCCCACTGACCTTGAGGGGCCCCAGCTTGAGGGAGTTCGGGCTGGGCCCGCAGGACCTCGGGGCCCAGGCCTCTGCTAACGGCTCTCCTCCTGCCTCAGGTCATCCAGGAGGTGAGCGGCCTGCCTTCCGAGGGGGCATCCGAGGGAAACCAGTACGGCCTGGAGGCCCCGCGCCTGAACTGTCAGAAGGTAAGTCTCTGCTCTGCCTGGGGGTCAGTTCGAGACCACATTTTCTCCATTAAAATTCAAAGTATAAACTTGGGAGCTTTGTTCTCACATTTCAGTGCAATTAATAAGAAAGGATAAGGACAGGAGCCCCGGCTTGGCAGGAAACTAATGAAAGTGACACAGAACTTAAATTATTTCTTGCTCAATGGGGCAGCAGTCAGGGGGACCAAGTCCCTCTGCCCTCCCCTCTCCAGCGCGGAGATTGATTCTTCCGAGCTCGCTCTTCCCGCCTACTCCCCAGGAGAGATCCCGGGGCTGGGGAAACCTCTCTGTTTTGACCAAAGGGCTCATTTGCATGGAGCTGCGGGATCCCCGCTTAGGGGTCCAAGTTGAGGAAGCTGGGCTGGGTGCTGACCAAGGGGCAAGCCTCACCCATGGGTGACAGTCCATGTCCCTGAGTATCTGCAGGTAGGTGCCCTGAAGCCTGCGTGTGAACCGAGTGGCCAGAGGGTCACTGTACCTCACTTGGGCTCCCCACCCCTGACCAGGAGGACAGCGGAGGGTATGCAGAGGGCTTGAGCAGGGAGGGGGCCCTTTGCTCTTTGGGGAGGCGCAGGCCACCCCCGTGGAGGGAACACCACGAGTGACTGAGGCAGGGCTGTTGGAGTTGCCGCTCATTGCTTGGTCACTGACAAGAAACAAAAATCAGAGTAGATGTAGGTTCTCTTTACGCTGGGGTAAGAAACAAGAGCTCTCCCTAAAGCCCTGCCATGCAATGTCTCCTGGGTGGACCCATCGGCCCTCGGTCCTGTCTGAAAGCCAGTCCCGAGGGTGGGGCGTCCCGTGGCTTACCTTGCAGAGCCTGGAGTAAGTGCTCTGGGGTCGGGCGGGGGGACCCCAGGGAGGGAGGGTGGAGGCAGGCCCCCCGGGGAGCCCAGGCAGAAGCCCAGCCCACATCCCACCAGGGACCTGGCACCAGGTGACCCCCCCAGTGTGATCTATTGTTTTCTCTTAGGTTGTGGTCTCCGAGGTAACCATTCCCGGACAAGATCACCCACTTGTCTCTTTCTCCCGCAGCCTGACATAACTGAGAAGTACCTGTCAGCCCAGGAGTATGGAAGCTCCGTAGACGGCCACCCGGAGGTCCCAGAGACCAAAGACGGTACCCGTGCTTATGGCTTTCAGCCCAGGGTGGGGTGGGCAGGGCCCAGGCTGTGACTCGATTGTGTGGCTCCACGCTACTGGGTTTTGACAGCTAATTCTAACATGCCTCCAATTTATAAACTACTTGGAAATACTTTCCAGCTCACAGACCTAGGGAAAAGGGACAGACGACTGAATTGAAGTTTCATGACGTGCTGGGGGTGGAAGAGTACTCATTTCTTCTCGTTTGCCAACCCAGTTTTAAGTGCCTTTGAGCCCATACAGTCTGTAAAGATTGTCCAGTGCTCACACATTGCCCAGGGGAAGCCAGTGTGCCCCTCTTGAGTGTGTGAATCTGGGCACAGCTGACCCTGGGCTGTCGACCCTGGTTTGGGGAGGAGTCTGTGTGCGTGTGTGCGCTGGTGTGCATATACACGTGCGTGCAGGGAGGGGCTAATGTAGTAGGAAGGGGCTTCTATTTTTTTCCACCTACCATAAGGGCAGGTGCATCAGCTGTGTGCAACACTGATGGCTCTTTCTGTCATCTTGACAGTCAAGAAGAAATGTTCTCCTGGCCTCAAGCTGAGCAACCTAATGAACCTGGGCAGGAAGAAGTCTGCCTTGCTGGAGCCTCCGGAGAGGTCCCTCGAGACATCCAGTAAGAGTCGTAACCGCCTCCTGGACCACAGGACTTGTCCACTAGGCTGCAGCCTGTCTCCCGGAAGGCAGCTCAGACAGGGGAGGCAGGGGCCTTAGGTCTTGCTTTAACCATTTTTAGGGATGGGCAGCCTGTGGCTCAGTTTCTGTGTATCTGCACTGCAGGTAGTTCTTTAGGTTTAACCAGACTCTCCTTGCTGCTATCCTGAATCTTCCGTGCAAGTGAAGGGTAATTGACTGCTGCCCTAAAAAAAAGAGGTCTTTAAAAAAATACATTCACTTGATTGATACTTACAAAGCTTGGCAGGCACCACATTATGGAAAAGGGACCCAGCAGGTGGAGAACAGAGGTTACAGCTTTACACCCATAACCACATACCTGCTGTCTTAGTAGCTGTAAGGACCTGGGGACAGAAAGAACCTTTCCCACTCCCTGGGCAGAGGTGGCTTCCTGGGCCTGAGCCTTGGTGGGGTGGAAGGACCGGTGGGGGCCGAATGGGCTGGGATGGCACCTGGGAGTGAGATGCAGGCAGGTGAGATGCATTTAGGGGCTGGCAAAAGCCCCTAGTGCTGGGACAGTGTGTGTGTACGGGTGCTGGTAGGCTCTTAGAGGTCATCTCGACTGCCCTTATTCAGCCTTGGGGAAACCGAGGCCAGGGGGAGTGGCGAGGGAGAGAGACCTCTCCCACAAAGTGTCTTGGGTGAGCCCACGTACTGGTGGTCAGCCTGGGGCTCATGGCCGTAGCTCTCCCGGGACCCGCAGGCCGTTACTGTCTACCCCTGGGCCCTTTCCTCTCACTCACGGAACCACGTCCCAGCATGGGCTCTTCCCCTCAGTCCCTGTTTCTTCTGTGTTTGGAGGCTGGCCGGGGCCTCGCCTTTGGAGCCCGCTGCTCTTCCAGCCAAGCACCCCGGGGCCTTGGGGCACGGTGCTGGGCATGGGAGCCTGGTCCCAGTGAGTCACTTTGGGAGATGTGGCTGGGTTATTGCTGGAAGTGAGTCAGCAGCAAAACAGCCCCCGTCCCCTGTGGCTGGGGAAGGGCCTGAGGGAACACAGATGTACTCCTTCCCAAGACTCGGCGCTCACGCCTCTCTCCACCCAGAGAGTTGAGATGGGCCGGTGGGAGGCCTGCCCGGATGAGCTAGAGGTCCCAGGTCCTGGCCTCCCACACTTCCACTTTGCTACCACGTTGTGATGTCCACGTGGCTCTGAGAACTTCATGATTCCAACCGCCTGGCCAGCACTGGGTGGTGGGAAGGTGGCCGTGCACTTTGACCCTGCTGCGCGAGCCTAGCACATCCCAGCTAAGGTTCCCAGCAACTGCCAGGCGCTTAGGGTAGAGAAGGAAGCTGCTCTGTAAGCCAGTGCTCCTGGGAAGGTGAGCAGCCCAAGGTGGGGGAGGGTCCCAAAGGCTGGATTTTACTCATCTTTGCAGCCCTAGGGACAAGACTGTGCTTGACACGTGGTGTCAGCTCCCTAAACGTTCACCCAAGCGGGGAGCCGGAGGCTTGTCCTCTCCTTGGGAAGCTGAACCCAACACACCCAACCATTTAGGAACAGGGAAGGGTTGCCTACAGAGTGTACTGAAAGAGCAGCTCCCTGGTAGACAGGCTGCAGCGCACAGACCCTGGGTGCTGGGCATGAACGTGCCAAGTTCATGCCCTTGAGAAGCATCCTGTCCAGTTGGAGAGGCCGACGTAGAAGCATAGAGTTTCACTGTTACAGATCCAAGTGTTCAGAAGGCCGACAGAGCAGGGAGTGCAGGATCCAGGGAGGGCCAAGGCCAAGTGCATCTGGGAGGCTGAGGAGCCATTGGCCAAGTGGAGGGAGACTTTGCAGGCTGAGGCTGAGTGGCCTGGGGATGGCAAGGCTGTTTGGGGGGAGGGGTGGGGAGAGCTTGGAAACAAGCAAGGGGACTGCCCCTGCCATGAGGAGACCTTGGCTGGGGTGAGCTTGCTGCCCGTGGCCTAAGTGACCAGAGGCCATAGGTGGGCCACTACAGGCTGGGTGCTCAGAGGCATGGCGATGAAGTCTGGGGTGGGGACTCCTCTGCCCTGTACACCTACAGAGAGGCTTTGTGTAGTTCAAGATGCAACTCACTTCCCTCGGGACACACCTTCCCACCCCTCCTCCCCGCCCCGAAACCAGGAGAGCCATGCAGCTCCGCTTCAAAGGGTGTAGCTGATGGCATGGAGGAGGGGAAAAGAATGTACTATGAGATTCACAGGCTCTGTGAGTTTAAAGTTTTGGGACTGAGATTCTGGGGAAAAGCTAGGAGGCCCAGAGGTGGGGGCAGCCGCCCGCACCTTCCTGCAGCCTCCTCCTCTCCTGCAGGTTACCTGAACGTGCTGGTGAACAGCCAGTGGAAGTCGCGCTGGTGCTCCGTCAGGGACAGTCACCTGCACTTCTACCAGGACCGGAACCGAAGCAAGATGGCCCAGCAGCCCCTGAGCCTGGTGGGCTGTGAGGTGGTCCCCGACCCGAGCCCGGACCACCTGTATTCTTTCCGCATCCTGCACAACGGCGAGGAGCTGGCCAAGCTTGAGGTACTGCGGGCCGGGCTGGGGGTGGCAGGCACATCGGGGCTGCAAGGAGTCCTGGGTTGTTTTTGTTTCCTTTGCCTGAGATTGTTTGCATTTTCAAAACTTTCCATTGCCTTTCTGACCTCAGGGTGGTTGTGTTATAGGAGCGGACAATGAGCGACTTCCTGTACTTAGGGCAGAAGGGGTATTTATAACTCTCTGAGCTGCTAGCAAAGCCTTTTGGGGATTCACAGTGGGTTTGATTTAGTGTGTGTGTCACCAGATGCAGCCTGGTATATAAAACTGATGCCTGTTAAGGCTTATCTGGGGGGAAGAATCAGGTTTGTGATACAATTACATTTCTCCCACTCCCCACCCTGTCTGATGTGAAGTCACATTTACAAAAATAAAAGGTGACATAATGCCTTGCATTGAGCTGGGCAGGTCAGAGCCAGAGTTCACAGGCTCAGAGGCACACACTTCCCATTCACTCTTGCTCACCTGGTCCTTTACGTGGGCGGCTTCATCCGAATTTTACTTCAATACTGCCCTCTCGTGGCCGAAAGATCCACATCCCCAGTTACTTCTCAGGGACAAGTTTGTACATTTTTCTGGTTAGTAAGTACCTACGCAGTACGATAGTATATGAACAAGACAGATATGTTCTCTACCCTCATGGAACTTACATTCCAGTATTCAAGGAAGATATTATCAATTCATTTCCTTGATTATTTAGTCCCAGTTTCTAGAAAGTGGTGGGAGGGAAGGGGGGTTGCTCCTCACAGCAATGGGAGAGCCATTGCGTTTCGAGGGAGGGCGGCATGCTCAGGTTTGGGTGTTGAGGTGCTCCACCCACCTGCTGTAGGGGAGTGGATGAAAGGAGGACAGGAAGGGACATAATGAGACCTGTTAGGAAGCTGCTACCGTGGCCCAGGGTGTCAGGAACCAGGGGGTGCCCATAAAAAGCCGTACTGAGAAACCCACTTGAAAATCAATGGCACAAGGGAGCCCGCTAAGTGTCCAACTCAGTGCATAGCAGTGCATAAGGGGCTACGGCAGGAAGGTGGTAGAGCTGCGCTGTATGGTGCCCAAGTGGAGGCTGTTTCTTGTCATGAAAACAAACCTGCAGTGTTTACAGAACTCGCAGCTTTTTCTCGTTATCAAGGCAAGAAACAACACTGGCATTTTAATAGAAATACCAGTGTATGTGTTTGATTGGAATGCGCTGTGCCCTGGGAAGAACCCAAGCACCAGTGTCTCCGGGCTTTACGTCGTGATTTATCAGCGTCAAGATAAGTGTACGGTATTTAAGACATCTTGAGTGTGGAACCTATAAACAAAAACAAAGTTCCATTGTTGTTTCTTAGCAGGGCATCCAGCCAGGCAGTCTCTCTGTAGGTTTAGGGTGATACACGGACATGTTATAGTTCATGTTATAGTTCAAAGGGTAGAGGTGTCAACCTAAAATACCTGCAATTTTAATGATTTTCTCCTGGTCCAATTAGCCTTCTAGAAATACATGTATGTAAGTCACCTGTGACGCTTGGGACCAATGTCCACAGCATCACTGAAGATGATGTTATATGGAGTCCCTGGAGGAAATTCTGGTGAAAGTGAGGGGGCGTGGCCCTGGCTCTTGGAGGCCTGGGTGGTGGGCCAGCCACCAGGGGGCGCACTGCAGCCGGGGCCCCCCCCCCCAGCCCCGCCCCGCCCACCCCAACGCCCGCCTTGTCTCCTCCCAGGCCAAGTCTTCTGAGGAAATGGGCCACTGGCTCGGCCTCCTGCTCTCCGAGTCAGGCTCCAAGACAGACCCCGAGGAATTCACCTACGACTACGTGGATGCGGACAGGGTTTCCTGTATTGTGAGTGCGGCCAAAAACTCTCTGCTGTGAGTATCATGGGCCTTCTGCTTTGCTCCCTTCCCCACACAGTCATGGAAGGGTGCGTTCTAGGTGCCGGGGCCAGTCAAGCAGCCAGGGTCGGCCCTGTTCCACCCGGTGGCAGGAGGGCCAGGAGCCAAGCTGGGCCCTGAGCGGCTGCAGGGCTTGGCTCTCCTTACAGCAGAGTCGGCATGTCTCCTGACCCTCCAGGTCCCTTGCAGCTGGCTTGGCACTTTCCCAAGGACTTCTCTCTGGGTCCCCAGGGCCCCCGGAATGGACAGGGCAGAGGTGCTGCTTTCCGCTCTCCAGATGAGCGAACAGAGGCTCAGTGGGGCAGAAGTGGTCCTGGGCTGGGCCCACATGAAACGGACTCCTTTCTTCCGTACAAAATGGGGCAAGTCTCCAGTCTGTGCTGCCCCAAGTGAATCGTAAAGATGAAAAGAGAAAGGGTTTTGATGTTGTTGAAGGAGATCCAAAAATGGAGTCAGAAGATGGTAAAAGGATGCTAAGAGGAGGGGTTTGGGGAAAGGGAAGGTTCTCTGGAAGAGAAGTTTGGAACCGAGAGCTCTAGCAGGAAGGCCCTGGGAAGAGAGGCAGGAGCCACCCCTGCGGAACGAATGCGAGTTGAAGTGTGGCCAGAGCGAGTCCCCAGGGCCCCCGCGCAGCCCTCGGCCTTCACGGCACCTCTCGTCCGGAGTTTGTTGAGGCTGATGGCTCTCACCGCCCCATCTTGAATCCTTCTCTCTGTCTTGCCGTGTGTCCTCCAGATTGATGCAGAGAAAGTTCTCGGAGCCGAACACATACATCGACGGCCTGCCCAGCAAGGACCGCCAGGATCTGCTGTATGACGATGTGGAGGTGTCAGAGCTGACGGCCATGGTACGGGTGCGCGCGGGGCGGTGGCGGTGGGGCGGCCCAGTCCTCCTGTGGCCAAACCTCAGTGCCGGGGTATGTTGGCCATAAGAGGAGTGGCTTCCCAGTCACCTGCAGAGCCATGCATGCGGAAATCTAGAGGCAACAAGTCTTCTTTTGTCCTGGGGTGGGCAGTCCACCTGGCGTGGGAACTTGTCTGGCTAAGACAGCTGGTCACCCGCCCTGAGCAGCACGAGGATGGGGGTGTGCTGTTGGGACTGGCGTTGGAGGCCCACAGTGATGTGGGGAGGGTCACCGTACTGGCGGGAGGTGCCACCAATCAGACGCTGGACCCTGTGCTGTGCTAAAAGCTGATGTGGACTACCTCGTTTAATCCTAATCACCTCATAGGGAGGTCCTATTGTTCTGTTCTCTTGCAGGTGAGGAAATAAGGTTCAGGAAAGTTAGGACTGTGTCCTGGGTCTCCCGCCTCTTGAGTGGTTGATCCAGAACTTGAACTCTGACCTCCCCATCTAACTCCAGCTCAATAAGGGGCTTCTGCGAGGGAGGCTCCCTGCCCATTCCTCCCAGGGCAGGGACAGGAGCTCTGAGGCTGGGTGGGTGCTGCTTCTCCCGCCCAGGTTGTGACGGCAATGGTGAAACCGCCTGACTCTTTCCACAGCAGGTGGAGCCCGAGGAAGCCGCCTCTGCCACAGATGTTCCAAGCGAGGGCAACCCTGACCACGTGTACCTGGACCTCACGCCGGTCAAGTCCTTCCTGCACAGCGCGGGGGGCACCCAGACCCGACTGAGTTCCCCAACTCCGCCCTGCCTGGACCCTCCGGCCGAGCCTCTCGCTGCACACCCGGGCCCCGCCGCAGACGAACCTCTCGCCAAGTCTACAGGGGCCCCGGTGCTGCAGGTACAGGTGGTCCCCCAGCTGAGGCGCTGACCCCACCTTCCCGGGCCCCTCAGCCTGCTAAGCCGTGTTTGCTTTCTCCAAAAGCAGACGCAACAGGAGAGTCCAGAGCCTGAGGAGCCTTCGCCAAGAATCACGACAGTCAAAATCCAAACCGAACAGCAAAAAATCTCCTTCCCACTGAGCTGCCCTGACGCTGTGGCGGCCCCCGCAGCCGGGGCTGGCACACCTGTGAAGGACAAGCTGAGGGTGACCTCTGCAGGTACCTGGGCTGGAGCTGAATGTTTTAGAAATGGCTCAGAGAAGTTAGGCCAACCCTTTCCCTTCCAGATGAGGAAACGGGGGTTCAGGAGGGGAAGGGCCTTGCCCCAGGTCAGGCAGTGAAGAAGGTGTAGGCCCCGTTTCCTTTATCGCCCCTGCTAGGCCGGCCTGCCATCCAGCCCTGACTTGCCATCAGAGCCCCAGGTTCCGCCCGAGCCCATGCCGCGGGCCGGGGACAGCCCTCGCATTCCAGCCTGGCTGACCTGGGGCTGCCCCTCTCTGCGTTTGTAGAGATCAAACTTGGCAAGAACTGGACAGAAGCTGAGGTGAAGCGGTACACAGAGGAGAAGGAGAGGCTGGAGAAGCAGAAGGAAGAAATCCGGGGGCACCTGGCTCAGCTCCGGAAAGAGAAACGGGACCTGAGAGAGACCCTGTTAAAGTGCACAGGTAAAGGGCCTTCCGGAGGAGGAGCCTGGAGCTGGGCCCCTGGCCCTGCCCACCCTCAGCACAGGCACAGATTCCCCTCAAAGTCCTCTCCCCTCCCTCCTCCTGAAAGGTCCCTGTCTTGTGCCAAGAGACCCTCTGACCTCTAGGAGGTTTTAACCTCCTAGGTTAAACTACTAGTAGTTTAACAACTAGTAGTTTTAAAAGCTGGCTAAAGGGGGATATCTGTATGACACTCGATCTTAGCCAAAAGGCCAAGAAGCAATAAAGGGGGGAAAAGCTGCAATTTGTGAAAGCTGCAGTGTGACCGCAAACATTTTATTTTCACTTAAATGAAATGTATACTCCTTGGTCCATCTTTGGACATAGTGGCTCTTCCTGAGGTCCCATGCTATCTTTCTTGCATTAACCACACATGTCTTGCATCATCCTTAATTTCCAGCCTTCAAAGGCTTAGGACACTTGCAAAGAAATCTGAGTCCCTCTAGATTCTTTTCCAGATCAATCCCCCGTCACCTGTCAGCTGTTTCCTAGCAGCTTGCCTTTTAAAAGGACCCTCCCTGCAATCGGCTCACTCAGTTCCCCTTTCGACCCTGGCTGGTGTGGCTCAGTGGATTGAATGCTGGTGTGCAAACCAAAGAGTTGCCGGTTCGATTCCCAGTCAGGGCACATGCCTCGGTTTCAGGCCAGGTCCCCAGTAGGGGGGGCGCACAAGAGGCAGCTACACATTGATGTTTCTCCCTCTCTTCCCCTCTAAAAGTAAATATATTAAAATCTTAAAAAGAAATATTCCCCTTCCAGATAAGGGAGTCCTGGCCAGCCTGGAGCAGAAGCTGAAAGAAATTGAGGAGCAGTGCAGGGTCGAGGAGAGAAGGCGTGTGGACCTTGAGCTCAACATCGTGCAGGTGAAGGACAACCTGAAGAAGGCCGAGGCCGGGCCTGTGACGCTGGGCACCACTGTGGACACCACCCACCTGGAGAATGTGAGCCCCCAAGTGAGTGCCAGGAGCCACGACCCCTTGAGCTGCTGGACTGGAGTGGGGAGAAGTCGGGGGGAGGGGGGAGGGGGAGGGGGGAGGGGGAGGGGGGAGGGGGGAGGGGGAGGGGGGCGGGTCATGTCTGCCTCCCCCGGCTCAGGCCTCACTCTTCCCCTGTTGCCACAGCCCAAAGCTGCCGCCCCCACCCTGGACTGTACCCCGGTCAACTCTGCCACGGCGCTCAAGAACAGGCCTCTTTCCGTCATGGTCACGGGCAAAGGCACCGTCCTCCAGAAAGCCAAGGTAAGTGGACGCTCCTGGCCCCCTTCGAGGCCACCAGTGGACAGCAGAATGATCCCTAAGTTGGGGCCCCTCCTATGACCCAGGTGGCACTTTCCCACCCTGGGCGCCACTCTCGGCAGAAGAGGCACAGGGCCTACACTGTCCCTCTGGCTCCGCCTTGGCTCGCACCCATCTGCCCGAGGACACGCGACTCTTTGAACTACCCTGCCCCCCCCCATCAGCCATAGATTCCGGGGGGGCGGGCGGGCGGCAGCTCCAGCTCAGGAACAGAATAGAACTGAACAGCTTTCAAGTCAGAAAGTCAGGGATTCTAAACGACTGCCACCAGGAGAACGTGAACAGACTCAGGCAGGTGACGTGAGTTGCCTGAAGACAAGCCGGCCAGCCGGCGACAAAAGGCTCGGGAAGGTGTCAGTGTTGAACAGATGCCATTACTGGGTTTCCCCGAGGGCTAGACCAAAGTCTTAGTAATCCTTTATGCATCCAGGCAGTAAGGAACGTGCCCAGAGCTGCCTGGGCCTTTGGCAAACTCAGCTCCTTATCCCTATCTTGCGGGAGGTGTTTTCAGGCACCTGCCCCAGTGACTAAGCATTGAATGCATGGGAGCCAATGACATCGGGAGTCACTCACAGCACACTTTGCTGTGCCACACACAGTGACGGACACACGGGGTTGGAAATGTAACTGTGAGCTCTCTTCCTGTTTTATGTATGGGGGGGGCTGCCACATAGAATTACTAACTTTCTTCTTTTTGCGGGGGGTGGTGTTGGTATTTGAATGGTGCCCTAGGAATGGGAGAAGAAAGGAACAAGCTAGGAAACAAGCTTTCTCTAAAGACTCTCCTGTCAATATGGACCTTGGCGACAATCCTGCTTCGTTCAAATCTTCGTTAAAGCAGCAACTCTGTAAGAGGGTGAGCCTGTGTAGAAGGGAAAACCAGGGCGGGGGTGCCGCGCGTGGAAAGCTTCGGCTGAGAGTGGCTCTGGCCCTCCTCACGGCGAAGGGAATAGGAAAACAAAAAAAGTCGGGATCTCTGCATTGATATCGTCTATGACGTGCTTCGTGAGACATGGTAACAGAAGAGAAAATATTTGGGACCAAGCTGCAGCACTGTCCCCGCTAAATTAAGGACTTTTTAAAGTGACACTGTATGAGCTTAAAAAAAATGTTTCAAATCCTGTAATTTAGAACAGAGAAGTGTCTTTTGAGATTTAACTGAGTTTTCACATTACCATAGAAAAAAAAAAATTACCTTGTGTTTACAGACTCAGTCCTGGGGCCAGGCCATTCTTAAGAGAAGAGTTATTTAATGTACTGCTCTCATAGTCCCTGTTTTTTAAGTTGTGCTCAATGGCTAGGCCCCTTCCAAGAAAAAATAAGTGGTGAATTTTGTTTGGGGTGGCCTCCCTGTTCTTGTAAAAGGGGCAGTGCTGCCCCCGTCTTGTCTTCGATGGCATTTTTTTTTTTTTTTTAACACCGGTTGGAACATTTCGTCTGTCATCTCTGCCTCGCTCTGGGGGCTGTGAATCCGAGTTTTCTAACATTGGTTCCTGAGAACTAAAGGCTTTTTCATTTTTGTCATTCTCATCCCAGGGCATTTATTTCCTTTGTCATAAACACTTGGTGTCCTTTTACTAAGTGGTGAGTTAAATTTTGTTTTTTAAAGGAATAAAATGTTAATTGTATTTTGGGATTGTCCTGTAGTTCATGGAATGACTGGGGCAGGGCTTGATGGGCTTCTACCTCAAGGGGGAAACATCTTGGCTATTTACACACTGGACTTCAAAATATGTGCAGTAAAAACTGGTAGAACTACAATGTGGGATCTTAGCCAGAGATGTTAAGCCTCCTTAAATCAAGTAGCATGGAATTTTCATAGTATAATAAACAATGTGCCGAATACACCAGAAACATCTGTAGAAACTGGTCATATAAGCGACTGAAAATCAATACTCCTAGAAGTTAAACGCATTCCTAAATAATTTGTGGGGGAAAGACACCAGTACTTAGAAAGTTGCCTGGGTAGTAATTAAAATTCCTAGCATCAATGTGCTTATTTTTAAATGACAAAATTTGCCAATACTTTTAGGTAAGACTTTTTCATTATGCCCTAAAACAAGATCTGGTTTTTCTTTTGCCCTGTGTGTTGGACTTTTGGTATCAGAAGTATGCTAACCTTATAAAACGGAAAGTAAATGTTCCTCGGACTGCTATGTTCACAGCATTTTCTTGTAATGTAAAGAATCTTGTCAGTATGGATACTTCAGGCTCCCCTGTCAGTTTTGCCTTTACTGTCGCCTCAGGTTGTCTCTTAACTGTATCAGGGTTCTCAATGAGCCAGATTTTGGTATTGCATTTTTTAAATAAGCACATTTACGCCACATTTAAGGAATCACGTACCATGACCAGATAGTGTTTATCCAAGGAATTAAGGTGCTTCAACCACTGAAAATACGTTGATAGGTAACTTATCATAGGAACAGATTAAAAGTGAAAAAACATCATCTCGAAGGAAACATACCACAAATCTCAGCACTCCTAATCAACAATCTTTGAAGTCCAGGAATAGAGGCATTCCTACCCTTAGAAAGTAATCCCCAGAACGTCATACCTAATGGTGAAAACGTCCCTTGACGTCTAGATATGTGCCATTGCCACTACTTTTTAAAACATTCTGCAGGTCCTAGATAACACACAGTGATGAGAAAGTGTCTAAAACTCCAAAAGGAAGAGACAAAATTCATTATGTAAATGACATTCTTCTAAGATAAGAGAATTAACTATTCATATAAATGTGCTCAGCAAGTTGGCTGGAATGAGGATCATTCAGAGAAAATAAAAGATTTATGGCTTATTGGCAATGTTGTAATTTTCACAAGAACATATTTTTATATTTCTTGTATAATTAAAAGCCGATTTCTTTTAAAAGAAAGAAAAAGGCTTGAATTCCCTGTGCTGCTATTGGGACATTGGAAGGATTCAACTATTCAGTGGTGCCTCCACTTGAAAAAGGTAAAAGGAAAAAAAAAGTTTTTCAAGAGCTGGGACTGAAAACTTGAAACAGCAAAGCCTTTAACATGTAACCCACAGCTACGTGTGCTTTTTAAAAGCCTAAGCAATTCAAATGGGACATCCAAATAGCCTTGACCCAGACAAAGAACCTTCGCTATGAAATGATTTAGCTGACGTGAATTTTAAAGACAATGGACTCATGTCCATTCTCTGGCTACACCTATCGGCACCTGCTGGGTGGACACGTGGCCTTGCTCTGATGTCACCTCCTGCCAAGCTCAGCTTAGTAACTGCAATAAAAATATCCCTCGAACACAAAAGATTGTCCTGGCAGTCCTAGCACACTGGACTTTTTATTTCTAACATCTGACACCACCATGGTGATAGTCTCTTTGCAGTGCTTTCCTAGCACCAGAAATCTTGACATTCTGAAGGCTCAGTGCTAGCCTTGAACACATGCATATAATGCGGGGCATTATGTATACTAAAGAGAAAGGCTGTGATAAAGTGTCGTGATTAAGCTCAGAGCTCTGCAACAGTGTCTACTGAGAGCTGAACTCAAAACACAACCCATGGGAGGAATTGACGCTTCAGTCCGACAGGGGTGAGGAAGGGCCTGGTTTGCCAGAACACGTTCCAGCTAACGCCTCTTTGCCATGCCGATACGGCTACTCCCGTTCAATAAATAACCAGCATCATTTCTTGAAATCTTTTAAAAATGACACGTACAAAAGCAAAACAAGACCCTAGACAGCCTAAGGTCTGTTTAAAGAAGCAAAACCCTGGTAAGTGTCTCTCTCCTCTATTTGCTGAGTTTCAAGAACTCGATTGCTCTTTGCCCCACTAAGGAGAGTAAGAAAAGCGCTCCGTAAACACCCCACAATTAACCCCTCCTAGGTAAACGTGAAAGGAACCCCCCTGCCCTCCAAGAGAATGTGACCTGGTACCCAGGCCAGCTGCACCTGGCCCCTGAGAACCAGGGCTGTTCGCACCCTCAGCCCCTCCCCCACAGTCCAACAAGCTGGTTAACCGGTCACATTCCCGTCTGGGGCTTTTCCTAGTCTCTCACGCACAGATCCAGTCAGCAAAATCACGAATGCCACTCGTTCCTTTTCAAACCAAAAAACAAGTGCATCTAGGACATCTTTAGGGAACAATGTGTGAAAAGGTCCAACTTTCTCCACCTTGACACGCCATTGCTTCAGTGGTCCGAACGACCCTCTTGTCACTGCCTCCTTTTGACCATCAGTGTCCCAAAAGCATCCTTTTGAGCATCTGTTGTGTGGGCCAGGCGAGCTTCCCACAGGCCCTCCAAAGCCTCCAGGTTCCTTTGTTTCTCCTCAGGGGAAAGGAGACAAGCTCAACAGGGCACAGCTGGGTACGGAAAGTAAACATTTACTTACATGTCAGGAGTTTTCAACACCATCATTAATGGGTGAAACCAGCTGCTACCATGCCCCTAAGCAGCACAGTCTATAGCGGGGACATCTCTTCTCCGTGGGTGATGGAAGTGGGCAGAAGGGTTTGGGACCAAGCAAGCAGGAGGCATGTGCTCCGCTGAGGCCCTGCGTCCTTTCAGAGTCCAGCGGGGCCAGGCCTTCTCCGGAGGTGCTGGGAGGGGGCCAGCGGCTGCCTGCCTTCAGGCCGTGGGCGGGAGCCTCGGGCCTTAAGGGCGTCTCCTCTCAAGGCTCCTGGGAAAGAAGCGAACTTTGAGGACATGAGGCGTGCGTGAGTCCTCTCACCCATCCTGCAGCCATGTGGGCACCTGCATGTCTTGTTCTTACTCCACAACCCGAGAGAACGGGGCCGGGTCACGGCCCAATCTGACAGCCCTTCAGACGCACAGCCTGGCCTCCAGGAAGCCAACCCTCCAACGGCTGACAACCCAAGCCTCCATCAGGAATCGTCTTCTGGTTGCGGGGTTCTAATTTTAAATTCACAAACAGGGGCCCCCCGGGGGCCCGGGATGCTGCCCACAGTCCTGCTCTGTGACCATAGTCTGGTCCGCTTCCCCTAGGTGGCTCTTCCCTCCAACCTCCTGCACCGCCTCCCCATCCTCACTCTCAGCTGATTCCTTCTGCTTCACTGAGCAAACGGAAACACTCAGAACTCCCACCAGCTTCCACCACATCTACCCACCTACCTGCATCCGGGCCCACATCCTCTGTCTCCCGGTCACTCCAGGTGCACGGTGGTCCTAACGGAGGCCGCCCTTGGAGGCCTTCCTCCCAGTCACCATTACTTGGCCCGCATATGCTCAGCACCATCTAATCTACTACATGTTCTACTTACAGACATGTCTCCCCCACATGCAAGGAAGCTCCAGGAGCACAGAGATTCTTACTGTCTCGTTTACTGCTAGGTTCCCTGCACCCAGAACGATGCCTGGGATGTAGGAGGCCCCTGCTACGCATTTCTTGTGTGAATGAACAAATGATGCTATGATCCCTTACATGGAGCCAACACCCTGGAACTTGCCTTTAGCTGAGTCCCCAGGGCTTGGCCGGTCCCCGAATGCCACCCGTAGCTCACAGATGCAGAACAAGGACCCTACTCACGGTTCTCACAGTGGGGGCCCTCCCAACCATCTCGGCACGTGCAGAGGTAACTCCCATTCCGCAGGACGCAGGTGCCCTCATTCATGCAAGGGCTGGGTTTGCAGAGGTTGACGGGCTGCTTGGCTTCTACAAGAAAGAAAGTGCCCAGCGGGCCCAGGCTGGGTCAGCCCCAACGAACCCCTCCTCTAAGGAAGCTCAGTTCAGCTCTGAGGCCCCTAGGGTAGGGTCTTACACACCTTAGTGGGCCCTTCTGTGGGCCCTTAAGCCACAGGCTAGCATGTGGATGGTGCTCCATACTACCAGGCTAGGTCAAAGACCCAACTTCCACCCAGCCTCCCTACGTGCACATGGAAAGACTCTCTCGGGTGTCCTAGGCTCATAGCACCACTTACACAGGACAGCCACATACTTTAAAAAGGTGGGAAGGATGTCCCCGGCAAAAGGGGGGCTTGGAGTCTGGCTGGCCTGGCTGTGCTTGCTCCTCGCTCTGGCATTCACTACCAAGGTCAGTGTCAGCCTTGCGGGAATGTGTTGTTATCTTAGCAACATCTTCTATTTAAATGGAGAGTGTACACTCTCAGGTTTGCGGAGGGGCAGCTGTGTTAAATTTCCTGGAGCCTGAATGTCAGCAGGATGGCTGCGCCTGGCGCAGGACGGCACGTGAGCCTGGGGTTCGGTACAGAACCTGGCACATGGAAAGCGCCCAGGAGCCGCGAAGAGCTGTGATCCTTGTAAAGATGTGTGTGAAGGTTCAGGCAGAGGTGTGCCCCCTGGGAGTCAGCCCTGATGGGTGTGGACTCCCCTGCTCACCTCTACAGAGCCACTCGATGAGTGTGTCCTGGTGAAACCTCAGGTCTGTGTAGGCTGCCACGTGGATCAGGGAGTCCCGGGGACCTGCGAGCCTCCGCAGCGTGTCCCTCAGCACAGGCCCCACGCCCACCACCAGGACAGACACGCCGTTGTTCCTCAGCTTCTGGGCAGGGACGGCTGCATCTTCCGCCCCCTGCCCGCCCGTGAGCACCACCACAGCCTTGGGGACTCCAGGCCGAGCACCCTTCTGGACAGTCATCACCTTGTCGTAGATGTGCAGTAAGGCTGTACCTGCTGAGCCCGCACCACCCAGGTAGGGGGCCTGGCTCATGGCCCGTAGCACCGCAGGACGGGTGATGTGGGTGTCCAGCCTGAAAACTGTCTGGACCCGGCTGCCGTACACCACCAGGCCGACCTGGGTCACGTCGGGGTTCACGTCAAATTGGAGGGTGCAGCTTCTCACGAAGCCCTGCATCTGGGCGAAATGCTCAGGCCCCACGGAGGCTGAGGCGTCCAACACAAAGACCAGGTCCAGCGACTGCGCCTGGCAGCCTGCGGAAGCAGAGCGGTCTCAGGGTCAGGCTCTGCCCGGCGGAGCCCCTCCTCTAAACCAGGCCAGCAGGGTGGAGACAGCAGTGTGCTGTCTGTCCGCTGCAGTGGCTACCCTCCACCGTCTGCTAGAACGTTGGCAGGATGTAGGAGTGCCTGGCTGGACCACACTCAGTTTGCCTGGCAGCTAAGTGTGGCTGTGTGTCCTAGTTCTATTTGATAGGATATGATGGGGAGTAACTGTGAAATTTCCAAGTTATAGCCTCAAAAGGAAGCTGCTTGCCTTCCACTTCCCCACTCACTCCCTTCCTGCTGAGGAAGTGACCTGGGACCTAGAGGAAGAACCACAAGGTAGCCAAGCCACCCTGCTGGCCCAGGCCACTCACCTCTGAATGGTTACACGAGAAAGAAGTGTCTATCACATGTAAGCCATTGAGCTCTGGGGATCCTTTGTGACAGCACCTTCACTCATACCCTCACCCATCCCATTACTGAGCACCCACCATGTGCCATACACTGTATACAGGGTACTGATTACACCAAGTGGACAGAATGGGTCGATGCCTACCATCGGTGGGCTGACAGCCTATGGGGAGACAGGCATGAATCCAATGTAGAATTACAAGCTACGGGAGCAGCCATGAGGGAAAAAGCAGGGTAGTCCAAGAGGGACCAGCTGGAGCGACATGAGCCAATTGGGAGAAGTGGTCAGGACTTCTCTGAGGAGCTGGAGTTAGTCTGCAGGAGTAGGTCTGAGCTTGGGGTGGGGGTTCTAAGGTGCGTCCTGCTGCCTGCAGGAGCTGCGGAGAGACCGCAGGGGCCAGAACACAGGGAGTTCTCGGAAACCAGAAGGAGTTTGGGTTTGATTCCCAGTGCGGAGCAGAACCCCTGGAAAAGTTTAAGTATGGGGGAAGAGCACCTGATTTATAGGCTTTTAAAAACCACTCTAGCTCAAGGAAGGCCTAAGACACTGTCACAGCCAAGAGGAGTTTAAGAAGACAGTGACTAAATGTGATGTGGTGTCCTGGAGGGAATCCTTGGGACAGAAAAAGAACCTTAGGTTAAAACTAAGGAAATCTGAATAACGAATAATAATGTATCACCATTGGTTCCTTAATTGTGACAAGCGCACCTTGTTAACGTCTTACAGGAAGGACATGGGGCGTGGAGCATATGAGGACTCTCCCGCTGTCACAAGTTTTCTGTAAATCTAACACCATTTTTAAAAAACCCACTCTGGCTGCCATGGGGAGACTAGAGCAGAGGGGCAAGAAGGGAGGTCTCACCAGGTGATACCTGGGGCTGAGGAGCTGAAGTCCGTATGCAGCTGCCCGCCTACCACCGCTGAGGGAGAAATCAGGGGGCCCCACCGAGGATGTGTTTCAGCTACTGCCCCTGGCGCCACGGGCCAAGCCCTGCCCACCCATGGGAACGTCTGCTCCCAGCGGGCAGTGCTCTCCAGAGCACCTCCCTGTGGCGGGTCACAGAATCAATTTAATGGGTCAGTCGTGCAAGTCAGTAAGAAATAGGAGAACACATTTCAGGTAGACAGGATGAGCATCGTTCCACAAAATGCTTGTTTCAGTTGTGTATGCATGTGCATGTGCGTGCGTGTGCACGTGTGTGCGCGCGCACAGTGGGAATATACTGGGAGCTCCCATCAAAGAAGCTGGAAGGCCGCTCTTCTAAAGCACACTCAGTGGGTTCTGAGCTCCTCGTTAACAACAATAAATGAATACTAACAATAATGATAAATCGCAACACCTACTATTTGTTGAGTGCCCATTCTGTGTGCATTGCTTGTCTTAACTGAATCCTCACAAAAGCTCTCCGGGAGGTGCTATCATTGGCCCCATTTTATCGACCAGCAAACTAAGAAGTTACTCATGCGGCTAATACATAAAAGTGGTTCCAGCCCCTATGCATAGGCCTTGGTTAAATGGCAGTAAAAAAAGGAAGGACCTGCCGCTGACAATGGGCCCCGGGTCAGGCTGAGGTTGCTCCGCAGGGGACACAGGCCACTGGATCTTACCTGGCCGCAGCTGGCTGCACAGCTTCCCCTGCAGCTCTGGGATTTGGTCGAACAGGTCCTGTGGGTCGTCATAGACCAGGATGTGCTCTGGGCTGCCTGTGATCTCTTCCAGCTCTGCCCGCACAGCCTCGCTGCCCACGCCCAGCAGAAGCAGCTCTCCGGCCCTCGCGTAATGCGCCGGGCCGGCCACCTCGTCCTTGGAGCGTGACTCCGTGAGCAGGACCACCACTCGGCGAGGACGGTCCTGGCCTGTCCTGCGGACGCTCCCAAAGCCGCGCTCCGCCACCTGCCGCAGGGCCCTGCCCGTCAGGGTGGCGCCTCCACTGAAGGGGATGGCATCGAGGCTCCGGACCAGGTCAGGCACGTCCTGGTACTCACCCACGGGCACTGCCACCACCAGCTCCTGGCTGTAGTGGGCCACACCCACGCGGGCCCGCGAGTCCTCATTGAGTGACGCCTGCACAAACCGCTTCACAAAGGCCCTGGCCCTCAGGAAGCCCTCCAGCGTGGTGCCCGCCGAGCTGTCCAGCAGGAAGAGGACATCGATTCTGCATTCCAGGCTCAGCGTCGGGGCTGCAGAATCACAGTGGCCGTCACGCCATGGCCACCGGGAGCAGGCCGGTCGCCGTTCTACCCAAGAGGACCCACCACCCCACTGGGTGGGAGAAACCTCTCTCCAAGGAGGAAGGGGCGTGCAGAGACTGAGTGCACATCCCAGAGCCCTTCCTCCTGGCTCTAGCCAAGGAGCTCCGCCCAACCCCTATTTAAAATCACGATCTATTTTATAACTTCCCCCCCATTATGGTTGGAGCTTCTCGTGTCCGGTTTGAGAAGTCATGAAGACACGCTCCTATGGGGAAACAGAAGATTCACGGCTCTGCCTTTTACATATAGATCTCTGATCCATCTGGAGCTGCTTTTTGTGGGGCTTGTGAGGTAGAGGGTCAAGACTGGTTTCTTCCACACGCGTCTCCAACTGACCCAGCACTACATTTTTTTAAAAAGTTATTAAACAAGCCCCTACTTTATGTATTGGGCATAGTGCTAAGCACTTAACATACAGGGTGGAGCAAAAGTAGGTTTACAGTTGTTCATATGGAAAATAATACAATAATAAATAACAATACCAAAATAAACTTTGTGTTTTGTGTCCTCACAACTGTAAACCAACTTTTGCCCCGCCCTGTACATAGTCTGTTTGCAGGCTCCCAACAAACCTATGGGGTAAAGCCCGTTACAGTCTTCATTTCATTCCGGTAAAACCAAAAAGAGTTGAGGCCCCACTTTCTAGAAAAGGGGACAAGAGGCTTTGCCCAGAACCAGGACCCTGAGCTGGGCCGGCTCCAGCCTGCAGCTGAGCTCAGCGACACTCAGAGGTCAGGCAGTGGTCATTCTAAAGTTAGTAAGCCAGGAGCCACTGTCCTCCCTGGAGCTCCACCAGCTGAGTTATTTGCTCACAGAGCGCTCAGGGGCTGTATCACAGGAGACGTCCCAGCAGTGGTGGACGTGGTACGTAGGTGGCTCTAAACCTCAAGGGCTAGTGTCCACCTAGCAGCCTGAGGGGTGAGAGGAGAGTCAGGGGAGGCTAAACACCGCCGCTCCCCAGCGGTCCCCAACGGTCCCTGGTAGTCCCCAACAGTCCATCTTAGAAGTGCGTGCACACGTACCACAGTTCGCCTCCTCTCTGAAGGCCGGCGGGCAGAGGCAGTGGTACCTGTCCAGTCCTTCTGGAACACACGTGCCTCCATTCTGGCAAGGCTGTGAGTCACAAGGGCCTGTCAGAGAGATGTCCATTAACAGCCTAGCACGCCAGCCCACAGGCACGAGTCTGGTGGGCCATATTGCCCCACCTCAGCCCAGTTCCCTTCCCCTCCGAAGACCACTAGGAAACTATTGGGTTGGCCAAAAAGTTCATTTAGTTTTTTCCATATGATGGCTGTAGTAGTGCTTAGTTGTCTTTACCTTCATTGAAACAAAGTTGTTAGAATGTATTGTGGCAGCTGTCATATCAGCTTGCATTAAAAAAAAAGCTTATCAAAACTGGTGAATTTTTGTGTAGCCATTTTAATATTGAATAGGGAAGAAGATAGGCAACATTTTTGGCATATTATGCTTAATTATTTCAAGAAAGGTAAAAACCCAACTGAAATACACGCAAAAAAGAAACTGTGCAGCGTACGGAGAAGGTGCTGTGACTGATCGAATGTGTCAAAAGTGGTTTGCGAAGCTTCTTGGTACTACCGACATTGTGGCCCAATGATTCTCTGCTGTGCGGCTGTCTTATGCCCTGGAAGATGTTTAGCAGCAGCCCTGGCCTCTACCCACTAGAAGCCAATAGTGGGAGGTAGCCATCACACTCAAAATATCCAAATAAATAGATATTGGTGAAAATGAAAAATGTGTCTTTTATTTTATGGAAAAAAACTAAACAGACTCTTCGGCCAACCCAATAGCTGCAACATGTACAGCAAAGAGGGGAAAGTGAGGTACGCGTCGGGGGGCGGGAGCTGGCGGGGGTGGTGAAGGACACTCAGTGGTGAGCTCGCAGGGCACTGTGTGAGTCACAGGCTCGCTTGGGGACGTGCCCATGGGACCTGGACTGTTGGGACTGTTGGGATGGGGACCCCGAATTTGTATGTAGAAGTCCTAACCCTCAATAGTTTAGAATGTGACTGTATTTGGACATAGGGCTTTTAAAGAGGACATTAAGGCTAAATGAGGGCATAGGGTGGGTCCTCATCCAGTATGATTGGTGTCCTTGAAGAAGAGACACCAGAGGTGTGTACAGAGCAAAGGCCATGTGAGGACACGGTGACAAAACGCTCATCTGCAAGTCAAGCAGAAAAGGCTCAGCAGGCAGCCAGCTTGCTGACACCTTGACGTTGGACTTGCCGCCTCCAGAACTGTAGGAAAATACATTGCTGTTGTTGAAGCCACCCAGTCTGTGGTAGTTTGTCATAGCAGCCCCAGAAAACCGACACAGCATATCCGGATAGCCCACAGCTGCTCGGGGACCCAGAGGAGCTCCAGGCCACCATCGTGATGAACTGGAGCTGCACCTACACTTGATAAGGAAGGTCTCAGGAACGTGAGGCCCACAACCTGGGTGTCCTCGGGCTCGGGGAGCACGGCAGTGAAAGTGGCAATGCTTCCCAGGTTCCACCCGAGGCTGTCAACGCCTCTGGGGCTGGCACAGCAGACAGCGAGCCTATGGGCCCTGCGGTTAACAAATGTGACCCTCTCCAGTTACTCAGGCACCTGAAGAGCCCCCCAAGCTCCAGCAACCTCATCTAAGACGGGGTGATAACTGAACTTGTGTCTCAGTATGTGTGAGGCCTGCGTGAACCAGTCCGTGGAAAGTCTGAGGACAGAGCCCGACACGAGGCACGCACCCTCCACCGCAGGGAAAGACCAGCCTAGTCCCAGGGCCCGGACGGAGTGGGAGAATCCAAGAGGCAGGCTGTACCTGGGCAGGTGGTCCTGTAGCAGGTGGCGGGGTGGCTTAAGAACACTTTCTTCCAGCTACAGTCCAAGGAAACAAACGGTAGAGATCAAAGGTTTGACAGGAGGGCAGAAGCCGGGAAGGTTATTAAAGCACAAAGCTGATATAAAATTCCAGCACAGCAGCTGGTTAAGAAAGACTTTCTTGTTTTCTTTCTTGATTCCACCCCAGCTTTTATCTGCACATAGAGTAGGGCATATTTCCATCTACCCAGAGACAATTGAAAAAGAAAGATAATGTAAGTTGGCCATCGTGTCAGATGCTAGAGATAAGTGTGCAGAACTATGAACAGTGAGAACAGCTTTCCATTACAAAGTTACTTCCTGCGGCCAGCACATTGTGGGGGAGGGGCGGTGGCGGGGCGCGGGGGCTGGGTGGCCGGACACTGGGAATTAGGCAGCTGGGTTCTGGCTGTGTGACCCCAGGCATATTACTTTCTTTCTCTGGTCTTTGGTTCCTTCTTACTAGAGAGTAATTGGTCTGTAGTTTTCAACTGCATTCCTTGGGTCTTCAATGGAAGGAAGGAGACTGAGTGGCCAGGGTGACAGCCTCCCCCAGTGCCACAGCCCCACCCCTTCACCCCAAATGTGATCTTTCTGGTCTGCACAAGTGTCCATCTGAGGCTGAGCAGCTCAAGATTTTTAAGCCACGGGACTGGATGACACCGGAGGTCCGCTTGAGTGCTAACATTCTGCGATAACGCAAGGGCCACCATTCCTGTGGTGGCTTCCATGCTGCACGTGTCCCCATGGTTACCTGGAAGCCACAGCTACCTGAAGAGACGGTCATCCTCATCTTCCAGATGCAGATATGGGCTCAGAGGGCTGAATTAGGGTGCCCAGAGTCACACAGTTACTAGAACACAGCACAGAGGGGATCCGAACTCCACCTTCCGACTCCAAAGCCCCTGTTCTCCGCCCCCGGGGCTGGAGTCTGCGGGGTGATGGGCCAGGCTCAGCAGGAGGGGCCCCTCATGCCGCGGATAGAGAGCCCTCCTCTTGGTTGGCATCAACTCCAGGACGGCCTCACCCACAAGGACATTCTCTTCGGGCCATGGCAAAAGCTCCTTCACATTTTCCATAGAGGCCTTCTTCCTCCAGATCCTGGGCTGCCCGCCACAGGGCAGGCTGATGGGCTCCCCCCTGGGGCCTCGCCTATCCTGGAGTGAACAGCCCCGTGAGGTCAAAGCCACATCAATTACAAACCCACGGAGGTGTCCTGGAATCAAAAGTTTGTCAATCTGCCAGCTCATTAAAGAGAAATCTTCTCCCTCTCTGTGTGTACCCCTCCTAAAACCACAAGTCCCAGCCCAGCCAGCCCCCTCCCAGGCCTGCACTGGGGGCCTGCCTGGCTGGAGCGGACACTGGCCACAGGACGTTGCCTGATTTGCATGCGGCTCGTCCCCAACACCCACTCAGGGCTGGACTCAGATGCCACGTGCAAGGCCTTCCCTGCCCACTCTTTAAAACTGCAACCCCAGGCCCCTCCACCGGCCTACCCCACCCAGGCCCATCCCTGGGCTCTTCCTTATCACTGCCTCCTAGTTTATGGACTCATTTTACTGACTGCTGCCTCCTTCCACTAGAGGGTGAGTGCATGAGCTGAGGGCGGATGCTCCTGAGCTGTTCCTGCTGATTCCCAGGGACCGGGGACAGTGCTGGCAACACAGGAGGCCCCGCTGGGCATCTCTTGAATGAGGGAACTGATGAAGAGCTTCCTCTATGCAGCCCCCCTCGTAGGGGCTGGCAGTGTTCGTGCATCCCAGGGAGGACGTCCCTGGGAGGACAGTCCCCATCCTGGCAGCAGGGATGCCTTGAGGCAGTTACTAGCCTGCTTGTCCAACGGCCCCTCTTAACCGGGGGCACCTTGGGGTCAGTGACAGCGCCTATTCCCCTCTGCATGCTGCCTGGCTCGGGGCGGCACCTGGAACATGTCCACTGGGGAACAAAGAAGTGACGGCCTCCTTTTGCTTGAAACCTTGGGGGCTGAAGAGAGCCTGGATGGGCTCTGACGTGGCAGGAGGCCCCCGTCCTCTGAACCACGGGTAGGGCATGGTGCTTTCCTGCCGAGGACAACTTCGGATGCTCCCTTGGCCCGACAAGGGCCTCACACTTCTCCGCTGACTCATCTCGTTGCTGTGTATGATCTCTCATTGGAGGGCAAGCCACTGGGCCGAGATGCAGCTGGTTCACATGCCACCACGGCCTCCAGGAAGGGCGAGAGGTCGGCTCACCAGTGCTGGCCAGGCGCTGTACTGGAGGCAGCCTGGATGAAGTGTCAAAGGACAGTCCAGGCGCTGGCGAGGGCGGGCTGCTGGCCAGGTGGCAGCAGGTGCTCTGGAACGCCTGAGCCCCGGCCCTGAAGAGCCCAGCATTCCCCGTGGCCGGCCGCCCCACGAGAGCTCACCCAAGGCCTGAAGCCTTTGCCCCCCAGAAATGTGGAAACTGGTGCTTCGAGGAACAAACAACCAGATCGTGCAGAGCCCTGCCCCGCAGGGCCATTTTTTGGTTACCAGCCTCCAGCGTGGCTATGACCTTGCCACCCTCGCTCACCCGGGGCGCCTGGGTGGTGTGTTGATGAGACGCTGACCCTCCCTACACCCAGAGAGCTCTGCCCCTGCTTCCCCCCAAGGACTCCTCCAAACCCCGCAGCTCCTGAGCACTCAGCCTTGGGGCCCTCCATCCCCATGCCCCTGGGCTCTGACCCCAGACCACATGGACAAACCTGGAGAAGGGACAGAGTGAGGCCAGCACACCATCGGTCCCCCGCGATCCTCTCCAGCACAGGGCATTGCCGACAAGCTCCCTGACTGTCTCCAGCGTCTTGCGCTCACAGGGGTGAGGCTGGACCTTGCAGTCTGTGTCCCCGGCACACACCCGATGGGGGAGACAGGGTTACGCCTCCTTCCACCACTGTGGTTCTGCCACCCTCAGCCCTGGGCTGAACACACTGGGGAAGGGCTCCGCTCTGCCCCCTGCTGGGTGGCCTGTCTCTGGGCATCTCTTCTGCACAGGCCCTGCCCTGCACAGCTTTTACATCCCATTCCCACACGTATGTTTCCTATAACATACTTCACTTTGCTCCTGGGTGGACCCTGACAAAGACAACTTCGAATGCAGCTGAGGTGCCCATGTGCTGACCAAGGAGGGGACAGGCACAGGGGCCCCATATGCTCCCAAGCCCTGGGCCCCTGCACCCCACGGAGACACGCTCAGGGTTCCAGCCGAGACTCCCTCAGGGCCTGACACAGGGAGGCAGAACACAGCAGAGCGCCCCAGGGCCAAGGTGGCTGGGCCCCCTCCCTCTCACCATCCCACATCCCACACCCCACCTCCACGTGGGCAAGCCCACGCCTTCCCAGGCTGGAAGGCCTTACCTGCAGAGGCGAAGGTGCAGATGCCGGAGCTGCTGAGGGTGCTGAAGAGGCCGTTGGCGGCGTCCTCCACCTGCTCAGCCATCAGCACGTGTTGCTCCCTGGGCTCACTGGCCAGCACGTGTAGCTCCTCCCACCTGTGCCCCAGCGCCCAGCGGAGAGATGACATTGTCTTGTTACTCCAAACCCACCTTCCTCCTCCCCTCCCACCTTCTAGACCATGGGCTCCTCGTGGACGGCAACACCACCCGGTGATCCAGAAGCCACTTAGCGGCAGCCTCAGCCACTCAGGATGCAGGTGGGGCCCAGATGTGAACCATGGAAAGACCCCAAGGATGCTCAGCCATGGGTCACAATGTGCGCATGCAGCCGTCCACAGACCTCCCCACTCAGCCTCACACTCAGATTTCACAAATGGTCCCAATGGACTTCATTGCCTGGTTTTGTCACCCACAGCTGGGGAGAAAAGTTGCACCAGAAAGGAAATGAAGGAAACTGGTTCTAGGCAAGAAAAGAACAAACAAGGATAGCTGGTAATAGAAAACAACTATGGAAGAATTATAAACAATGAACTCAAGGACTCCAAGGACGGCACTGGGAAGCCATCCAGCGGAAGGAACAAGTACTCGCTGAAGCCAGAGGGCGCCATGCAGTGCCCAGGACAAAACGGTGGTTGGCACGAGGACACTGGGGAGTGCAGACGAGGTTCGATGAGGTGGAGGAACCTCTTTTTAAGAAGACGGGGCAGTCAGTAATGCACTTAGAACCCTGCCCATCAAACATGCATCAAAATACGCCAAGGTTCAGCCATATGGCAAAAAGGTCATTTCTTTCTAAAACTGACTTCTCTATTCTCTGATGCCACATAAAGCAGACATTTCTGCCAGGACCGTGCACTGGGCCCGGCACACAGACGCGGCTCTCAGCTCTGGGCTCACAAACGCTCTCTCAGGGGGCAGCTCTTCCTGACCCCACTTGGCAACAGACTCCCTTACAAGCTCCCTGGAGATGCAGATGCTCAGCTGCGGAGGAGAACCATCGGGGAGGGGGCTCAGTAAATGCTCAAAGCAGGAAAGAGTCACACAGAGCCTCTTGCTGCCCACATCGGTGGTTCTCACACTTGGGTGGGCGTCAGAATCACAGAGGGATAGAGAAACTGCAGACAGGGGCCTCGCCCCCAGGTGTTGGATTCCACGGGATGGAGCCCCAGTCTGTGTCCTGACATTCTTGACAAGTTCCCAGGTGATACCGATATTTGCTGGTCCAGAGAACAGTTTGAGAACCACTGGTCACCAGCGACCACGCTTTTACTAGGAGCTGGGGGAGGGGTCTGGTAGGCCTGGGAGGCTTCCTCAGAGGTCCCACTGTCTGCAGCTCGGAAGAACCCCAACTCCACCCCCACCCCAAGCAGGCCACGTGTTTATACCATGTGGTGGATTCCATCCTCACTGGCAAAGCTCTGGGCCTCTGAACTGCTGTGTTCAACACACTCTACTCACACTGTGTGCCAGGCGGGCGCAGGGCGGGGGGGCCAGGGTGGGCAGTGAGGCACAACGCAAGGCCCTCTCAAAAGAACCAACGAGAAAGCAGCTTATGCTTCATACCAACGTACTGGCAATGGCAACTATGATGCTCATGACAGTGGGGGTCACCATCACCCCCAGGACGTGGCAGAGTCTAGGATATCCCCATGGTCCCTCAGTCTCCTTCAGTCTCTCTTCTCTTTCCGACCTGCACACGCTGGTCCTTAGCCATCGATTCTCTGGGCTGCACTCCCTAGCGATCTTACCTAGGCTTTGAATACCACTCCTAGTTTCAGTCTCTGTCCTGTCCTCTCTCCCCTGCCCCAGGCTTGTATATCCAAAGCTTGTCTGCTTAGATGGCCAGTGGGCACCTCAAACGTACCTGTCTGAAATGGAACTCAATTTCCTTGTTTGTCCCCCAGTCTTTCCCATTTTGGTAAATAGCACTACCATTCGCCCTGGGGTTGGGGCCAAAATCTGGATCTTCTCTCACCTGCCCACATCCAATTCAGCAGCTCCTCCATTGCTCTGCCTTCCACCCATACCTAAGTCTAACCACTCCTCCCTTATCTCTGTGTGAGCAGCTCCAGAGTCCTGCTAGCTGGTTTCTTCACTTCCCCCAATCTTCTAAAATGTAAGCCAATTCCTGCCATTTTCCCACTCAAAACCCTCCAAAGCCTTCCCAACCTACGCACAAGAAACTCCAAAGTCTACGACCCACAGTCTGAGAATCTGACTTCCGCCCATCTCCTATACCTTATTTCTTGTAGTTCGCTCCTTGTTTGCTGGGCTCTGGCCACTCCCTGGCTGCCTTGCTGTTCCTATAACTCACTCAGCTACCTACGGCCGCAGGACCTTTGCACTTGCCATCCACCTGCCTGGCCTCAAAAATCAACTCCTCAAAGAAGCCTTGAGAGACCCCCCTATCTGAAATCACTATCTTCTCTACTCCCCATCAGTCTGTAACCTCTTACCCTACTTTATTTTTCTCCGTTGCATTTCATTTCCATCTGAAACTATATTACTTTATTTATTCATTCACTTGTTTGAGTTATAGTTCCTCCCCTAGAATGGAAGCTCCAGAGGGCAGGAACTTGGTATGGTTGTCTCCATATCCCTAGAAACTAGTAATAGTGCCTCACATGAGAACCTCTATTTAGTGATTGAGAGAATAATGTCCTAAAATGAGTAAAGGGATTTCTACGTGCAGGCATGGTGTCTAGACCAGAGTCATTTCACTTAACATCCGCAACACCTAGGCACCCATCAATGTTACCTCCCCTTCTAGGGCTGAGCATGCTGAGGATCTGTGCCTCCCCCTCTCCAAGGGAGGCATCTCCCGGCGTCGGGGGAAATGTGGCGTCGGAGGACGGCAGCCTGTCACCGCATTGCCCAGGCCTCAGGAGTGGGTATGTGATGCAGCCTCATCAGAACACTTCCTTGGATTATTCAACTTGAAACTGGGGAAATGAGTCTTTTCTCCCTGGGGTGGAGCTGGGAAGATGTGAGCTGGGCGCGCTCTGCAGCCACCGTCCCAGCTCCCAGAGACACAGGAGGGGACAGATCCTTTAAGACAGTCAAGCCTCTGGCTCCTCCTGCTCACCAGGAGGGACCCCTGACCCACCAAATACGGTTAGAGGAGTCCATGAATTTCCCATTTCTTCCCAATTAAATTCAAGTCGAGTTTCTGGCAAGTCAAACCAAATGTTCAGACTAAAGTAAAGACAATGCAAATGCTGAGGCTTCCAGACTCAAGGCTCCCTGTGCTCCAGCACCAAGGTAACGAGTGAAGGAAAGACAGACCCTGGAAGAACCAGCATGGTGTTTCCTCCTGCCCCCCCCACCCCCCGACCCTCCAGCGGCTGTGACGTCTCTCAGCCCCACCACGGGCCCCAGGCCGACCCACACACAGCGCTGACCTCACATGACCGAGACTCTTACCTGGGAAAGCGGACCCCCACGGCAAACACAGTGACGCCTCTTTCCTGCAGCTGCTTGGCCGGCAGCGCCACGGGCCCTTGGGACCTCCCGTCAGTGATGATGATGAGGACCTGGGGCACAGAGGCATTTCTGCCCCCAGGGAAGCCTTTGTGTAGAAAATATTTCAGAGCGAGGCCTGTCTCTGTGCGCCCTCCTCTGAGCTCACCCAGGAGGAAAAAACAAAGCGAGAATTAGTGATCCGGAGAGGTGACGTCGGAAGGCAGCCTGCAAGACAGCCTGCAACCATGGCTCCTCAGTTAGTGGCGCTGGCCACGGCCTCCTGGCAGAGGCCCAATGTGACAGTTCCACCGGGAAAGATGTGCTCTCTCACCCTCTAAACCACAATAGTGATGAACAGAAATGAGTACTTCCTGTGATCTTAAGATGCACCCCGCACAACTCTGTTATTTAGGTAATAATGTCACTCTGTATCTTTCCTAGCGGTGGCTCTGGGCTGACAACTGCCATCATCTGTCTGGCACCTGCCTCCGATATCCTCACCCCAGTATCGTTCCCTTCATGTTGTGGTTCAACATCTCCCTGGGGTGGGAAGGCAGAAAACAGAGCTTCGTAAGGATCCGTGAGAGTGAATGACAGGGTCCTTTCCATGATCGGGCCTGCCTGGCCCGCTTCCAAGTTCAGGGTCAGGCAGTGGAAGGCTGAACTGTTTGGCTGCCTCCAGATCAGGGCAGGTAACAACGGTCCCATCTCATTGGGACGCTAAGATCCTGTAACCTCAGAGCCCAGTCACAGGGACTGTGGACAAGCCTGGAATCCCAGCACAGAATCTCTACTAAATCTCAGGACAGGAGGCTGTGCAAGTCCTCGGAGGGAGGACTGCTGGCTCTCAGTGTCAGCTGGGCGGAAAAGAATGAGTCGCTACAGTGGATTTTAGGCCAATTTTCAGTGGATGGTAACCCATCTAGCCATGAGCGATTATTAATTCTACACACAGAGAAAACCCTGTTAAATCGTCATTCTGAAATGCTGGCTAATCACAAACTAGATTGGGGGTGGGGGCCAGTTTATACTCATTACAATCTGAGTATAAATTAAGGCAATGTCTGCCTTTGATTCAGCCCTTCATAGAGGAGCCTACGGCCATTCTTCTAATGTGGAAATATGCAATGGACACGAGGCATGGGTACTGTCTTTGTGTGTGTGTGTGTGTGTGTGTGTGTGTGTGTGTGTGTGTACATATATGCATGGACATATACATTTAACACTGAAAGTGTTGATTTCTCACTCCTGTCCGGGCCCCTGGCCAGGTTTCCTGTCCTCCAAGCAGCTACTCCGGGATCTAGGCTCCTTTAGTTTGTGGTCCCACCTTCCTCTCAGTCCTCAAAGTCCTGTCCACTCAGCACCCAGGTGAGGAATCAGCATGGAAGCCTGTGCCTGCGAAGGATGGACGGGCCAGGCCTGGACGAGTCTTCACTTTCACTGCTTTCTGTCGTCCGTGAGCTCTTAAAGGGCAAGTCTCTCTTTGGAGCTCCACTAAGTTAATGAATGTCAACCATAGTAGACAGCTCCTAGAATTAAGTCTCTTAGTCTATTTCAGATCAACATCCATGTCAACTAAAAAGCTGCTTACTGTTTTCAACCCACTAGTATTTACTGTGGACCCGCTAGATGCACGGTAGTGAGAGGGGGACCAGGAAGCAGGATACGATCTCACGCCTCAAAGAACCGTCCATCTAGCTGAATAAATAGGACATACAAGCAAATAACAAGTATCAATGAGAGGACAAAAGTAAGAGCTGTGAGAAGGGGTTCATTGTGGAGAGGAACTACCAGGACACCGGTTTCAGGGGGAAGTGTCTGAACGGGGTCTCAGTGACTCAGCGGACGAGGGAAAGGGAAAGCCGTGCCCATCGGGGGACAGGGTGTGAGTGAAGACATGGGCGGGCAGAGCTGGCCTGGGCAGTGGGCTGGCCAAGGGGGACTGGAGCGCACAGCATCGGCGAATCCCAAACACCGCGGACTCCTCTCACACCATGCCGCGCCGCACATCGGCCACCAAGGGGATTTTGACTCCCAGGACCACTACTACCTTCACCAAAGTTCTTGCATCTGCAGTCTTCCTCTAGTCTCCTGGAAAAGACACTGTCTCCTGTTTCTAAAGGGTAATATTAGTACTAAGCTACTACTTTTATGTCATATACTACCCCTACCTGGTACTGACTGTAATCCTTACAACTAGGATAAAAGGTGCTCAGAGCATCCTCATTTAATAGAAGAGGAAACGCCTATCAGAGAAAGGACAGTAATAACTGCTCATATTTACTGAGCACTTAACCACGTGTCAGGCACCAGTGTGTTAAGAGTGTGTGAGTGTGTGTGTGCGCTTATATTCAGGTGCTTACCTCGTGTGATTCTCACCACAGCTCTGAGATGCCAGAGTCCAGGAAAGGGCCTTGTCTAAGGGCACATAGCTCATGAGTGGCTGGAGGCAGGACTTGAATCATGGGGCCTCCATTTCCAGAGCACAAGTTCTTAACCATAACAGCACCCAACCAGTCGAGTCACCAGCCTCTCGCCCAGCCGGCGGCGGTCAGAACTGGAGTTTAAACCCAGTCATGCTGGTTGCAAAGCTGATGCTCTTTCCTCTCCAGGGGTTGGCACATTACAGCCTGTGAGCCTAATCTGGCCCTCTACCAATTTTTGTGAAGAAAGTTTTGGGTGGGGGAACAGCCATGCCTAGTCACTTACGGACTATCTGTGCAGAGATCACATGGCCTGCGGAGCCTGAAATATTTACTCTTTGGTTTTTTATCCTCAGGCAGTCCAAACTGGTAGGTGTTTGACCAAGTCTGAGAATCTACATTTTTTAAAACCAGCCTCCTCTCTCCTACTTATTCTGATGCAGGTAGTCCATGGAATAGACTTTGAAAAATATTTCATAGGAAAATTCACTGTGGATATAGAGATGTTGATTACAGCCTTTTTATTTTTATTTTTTTAAGCGAGCAACAAAAATCCTGGAATCAACCCAAGCATGTCCTTTTAGAATGATTTAATACACTGTGATAGTTCAATTCATTGGATTATTATAGAACCGTTAAACAGGATCAAAATGAAAAAATGCAGCTTTATGCAAAAATACATACCAAATACTAGTCCGTTAAAAAAAAGAGCAATGTGCTTTGTAATTATAATGATTCTAAAAGCTATGTTTAAATGTTAATGTGATTTGAAATTGGCCAGAGAAGGCTCTAAGAGGCTTTGTGCTCAGGTAAAGTGGTGAATATTATTTCTGTAGCACTATCTAAATACAGTAAAACTCTGATAAAGCTGTAGATGGGGTCCCAAAAAATCGAATCACAAAACTCAGAGCTGCGTTACTGGGAGGTCACTGAATGACGGAATGAGCTTGCCCAGCCAGCTGGCCGGGAGTTCTGGGCGTACAGAGCCAATTGCTGACCATGTTTTATCTGATTTTATGTTATCACAGGGTGCGCTATGGAAAGGCTTGGTTGTAATATTTTTTTAATGTTCCTATTGCAAGGTAGCAATAAGGTGATTTTTCAGGGTGGTTTCTTAACCACCTCAAAACACACTTCTTAGGGAATCGCTCCGGTCTAGAAAGGCAAGTGTTCTGGCTGTTCGGTAAACCTGTTCCGATCGGACCAGCATTTAAAACGTCGCTGTAGAAAAAGGGAAAAGAGCCCTGGAGAGTCCACCCTTCCCATTTGGCCAACATTCCTCTGTCCTGGTGAGTAATAGTGTCCTCAGTGACCCTGCAACTGTGGCCAGAATGCTAGTTACTGCCTCCTTGCCGGGTTTGCCGTTTCTCATAGTTACCCCGGGACGCACAGTGCTGACTGCGCACACCCCCCACATCGGAGCCGACCTCGCGCAGGCAGGTAAAGAGGCTTTATTCTCCGCCTCCGGCGTCCCCCTCCGGCACCTTCCTAATGTGGCTCTGTATTTCAGGTCCTGAAGAACACTCTCCAGCCCTTAGTTTTGACTCACCAGAGCTGAGAAAAAGGCTGGACCAACGATGGAGAGGGTGGGAGGGGGAAGGGAGGGAGAGATGGGAAAGGACAGCTGGGTGGGGCCCCCTGGACTGGCCCTGTGACTCTGGTCCTGGCTCCCTCTCGACCTCGGCATCCTCCCTCCGTGAAATAAAGAGTTGGCATAGATGCTAGATGATCTCTAAAGTTCTTAGTTCTTTTTGAACTAATTTGCTGCCGTTGGTTTAGTTTTTCAGAAGAGAACACGGTGGAATCATTCGAGTCAAAGTCACCCAAACAGTTTTTGACTTTCAGTCCTGAACAAAGCAACAGGCTACTTTCTCCCACTGCAAATGTTAGTGAACATAGAGTGGATAAAAAGTTTTTATGGTAATTAGTCTGTCAATAATAATATAATATGTATCCTTTTAAGTACACAATTCTGTTTTAAGTATATACTCACAGAGTTATGCAACCATCACCATGATCTAAGTCTAAAACATTCCGATCACCCCAAAAAGAAGCCCTAAACGCATTAGCAGTCCCCCGCCCCCCCGCCCCGCCCCGCCCGCATCGCATCCCGCTCCCTACGGTCCCTGGCAATCACTCATCTCCTTTGTTTCCACAGATTTGCCTATTTCAGACGCTCACGGACATGAAATTATAAAATGTATAACTTGTGTCTATTCCTTTTCCTTAGCATAATCCATGCTGTAGCATGAGTCACATCTTTGTGACTTTCACCACCGCTGACAAAGAGGCTCAACCAACTATTTCGGGCAGGGGAGGGTGGGGAGGGAGAGGTGGGAAAGGAAAGCTGGGTGGGGCCTATTGGACAAGCAGTGTGACTCTGGTCACACTGAATAATATTCAATTGGATGACTATACCACTTTGTGTTTGTTTATCCATTACACCTTTGTGTTATTTCAACTTTTTGGCTATATAAACAATGTGTTGTGAACGTTAGGGTATGCAGTTTTGTGTGGGCATATGTTTTCAATTTTCCTGAAGTGGCGTTGCAGGGTCATGTGGTAACTATGTTTAACATTTTGAGAAACTGCCAAACTGTTTTTCAATGTGGCTGCACCATTTTATGATCCTACCAGCTGTGTATGAGAGTTCCACACACCTGCCAACACTTGTTATTATCTGTCTTTTATGTTGGCCTTCCCAGTGCATATAAAGTGGTATTTCATTATGGTTTTGATTTCATTTCCTTAATGACTAATGATGTTGCATATCTTCATGTGCTTATTGGTCATTTATATATCTTCCTTTTAGAAATATCTGCTTATAAGATTTCTTTTGGGGATGATGAAAATGTCCTAAAATTAGATTATGGTAATAGTTGCATAACTCTGAAAAAATACTCAGAACCACTGACTTGTATACATTAAACGTGGGAACTTTATGAGAAGGGAATTCTTGTTACGCACTGAGCACAGCTGGCATTCCGGACACCCCAGCCCTCTCTGGGAGGCCAAGGGCAGGGCCAAACCCTTCAAGAGCGATTTTAAGAGCAGCTAGCTGCATCCCAACCTGGGCAGTATCTGAGCATACATACTTGAAAACCATCCTCTTGAGTTTTGTCTTTACTTCCTGTTGGGTTGACAAGGAGTCCAAGGGGAATTCCAGCCAAGGAGTGGAACTGAACTGGACTGCTCCCACCCTGACCTGCGGGAGGAGACAGAAGGCCCAGGGGTTGAGAGTAGGGTCAAGTCACAGACATTCCTAAGAGGCTTGACAATGAGACAAGAAAGGTTAACAACCCTGCCTCCTGCCCACTCAACAAATTCCAGGGCCAGAGCTCTCTCCTGGTCTTCCCAAGGAACGATTCCAAAGACCAGGAGAAGAACCTGGAAGGAAACAGTCAAATCTGCCTATGTTCTGCACTGACAACCACCAATTCAACCTTCTTGACCCCCATTCTGTCCTTTCACTCAGCTGAACTGAGAGTATCTTCAGGGCAGCATCTCTGCTCACACTTAGTGTGTGCCTGCTGGGTACAGAAACCGTTTTAAATGATCTCACATTATTTCACTTAATCACAGAGGCACTCTCCATACCCATATGACTTGGAGAAACTAAAATGTAGAGAAGATACAGATCTGGACCAGAGCGAGTGACAACGGGAGCCAGGCCATTGGACTTTGTGCCCATGGTCTTCACAAGGCTCAGCTCTACTGTTTGCCTTCTCAGCCGCCAGCAAGGCCTTCAGCAGCGTGCTCACTGACCCGATCAGGGGCGTCACAGAAGCTAACCACAGCCACCATCGCTGCTGGCTCATCACTAATCACAGCCACTGCACACTCTCCCTTGGCTGCGAGGGGGTCAGCCCTCCCAAGCCTGCTCCTGCCATGCTTGGGACAGGCCCACTCTCTAGACCAGAGTCAGATCAGGGGACAGTTAGCACCCTAACCTGAGACAAGCAGTAAGGGAGCTGAAGTTCCCCTGCAGGGGAGGGCGTGAGAGCCACTGGTGATTCCCAACAGATTTTGCGTCTTAATTGAGGAGGTCATATGAGAAAATCCAACACCTTCGAAGAGTAGAGAAGGTAAACTGGGTGAAGCTATTCTCTGGACCCTTAAATCACTGGTGTGTCTCAAGCAGAGAAGGCTATAACTATTCAGGTTTCCTCTCGAGGGTCCTATCCCTGAACCTGATCGTTGGCTCTCTAACACCCCTGGAGAAACTACATTCTCAGTTACTAGCCTAGTAACTATCTCTGATCCTGGCCAAGCTTATGAGTGAGCCAAATGATTCATACTTAGGCAGCGATGCTGCCTTTTGCTCGCTGCTTGAATTCCGTCACTACCCAGGCCTTAGCAGGCCCGGTGCCTGGGAGGTGATCAAAGCACTCGCCGCACCAGGTGGGCAGCATCTGCTCCCGGAGCTCAGCCCCCTGGACTCTCCTCCCAGGAAGCCCTGAGCGGGAGCCACTGGCCATCCTAAGTAGGAAGACATCTTGGGTGGGCACATGGGGGAGATGGGCCCTGGGAAGCAGAACAGGGGAGGAGCTCACAAAAAAAGTTTCTGAGCAGTGACGTTTTTGAAATCCCTTGAATTTAGCCAGTGCTAAAGGGAGCATCTTAAACCAGTGAGGGGAGACATGGTCCAGTTACTAAGTGATTTGGGGACAACTGGATCAACCTGAAGAAGAATAAAAGCTAAATAACAAATGGATTCAAGATTTAAGTGTGAAAAACAGAACCATAAAAGTTCTAGAAGGAAACTTGGGAGAGTTCCTTGAAAACCTCAGAGTAGAAAAGACCTTACTTGTTTACTGACTGGACTAAATTCCCAGATCTCATAAAGGAAAGATTGATAAATCGACTACACAAAGAAAACTTCCTCAGGGCAACCCATACCATGATCCAACCAAACACCGAAGACAAAATGGACCATTATTTGCAATTCATGTCAGAGACACAGGGTTAGTTTCCCCAATATATAAAGGGTGGCTAGGAGCTGATATGTGAAAGATCAACACCCCAACAGAGAAATGGGCAAAGAATATGAACAGAGATCCCAACAGGAAACACAAATAGTTCTTTCATGCCCGCACAGATGTTGGAGCGCACCACACTGAGCTGTAGCCATAAGCCAGATACAAAGTTTGCAGGGGGTAACCAGCATCCTCAAACTTTAATGATGAGAACATAAATGTTACAGCATCCATGGGAGCAATTTGTCAGTATTTATTGAAAACTACAAATGCACTTGGGAATTTATCCTACAGGTATACTTCCACGTGTGTGAAATGATATATTTATAAGCTCACAGTAGATTTGCAATAGCAAATGCCCATCAGTGGGAGGTTGGTTAATTAAATGTTGGTAAATCGTTGCAGTGAAACAATAATCAGCAATAAAATATATACCTATGTTAATACCTATATTACGTAGATACAAAAAGACTTCCAAGACAATGTGAAGAGAATAAAACACGGGACAGAAGAGTGTGTATCAGCTACTACTCTCTGTAGAAAAAGAGGGGAAATGAGGATATATACTCGTTCCTTGCATTTGCATGAAGTGATTCTATAAGAATGCTTAAGAAAGCAGGCAGGGGGACTGAGCAAATGGAAAATATGTGGGGAGGAGGGATAGTTTCCACTAAATGTCTTTTTATTGAACCATGTAAATGAATTACTTAGGTTAAAAAAAACAACAACAAAACCTCCTTTGAGACCAACAGCTGGGTGTATTTACTTGAATTAAACAGGAAGGATACAACTTCAAAACAAAACAAGATACAAACAGTTTGAGTCAGTAGTTAAGGCATTTAATTTAATTGGTGGTTTCAGAGAGAAGAGTTGTCTTTTATCTTCAGTTTACTGTGTGCTGAGAAGCCAGCCCGCCTAGACTTCTCACCCGGCTGTAATCATTATATTACAGCCAGGAAGTAAACTTCTCAGCTTGGTTTTTTTTTTTTTTTTTGAACTTCTCAGCTTTTTAAGTGTTGAGAGGAAGACTTCAAACATGTTAAATCCACTTTTCCATTCCAACAGCAGAGCATCCATAAAAGCCTTAATTTATAGCTACTTGAAAATTTCTTCCTGAACACTAAAGTTATAGAAAGAAAAATCTCTTGTACATGGAGATAACAAGATGACAAAAAAAAAAAAAAAAATGCAGCAGCAAGTACATAAAACCTGAAGCCACAAATCAGATGGAACCATCACCCTGATACAGAAAAAACCCTTCACTAAAATTCCAGCAAGTCTGACGGAGCCGCTCTCAGGCAGCTCAAGACGCTCGCTCACTTGCTCGCTGAAAAAGACACCCGACTCTTTGCTCAACAGGCCTTGCTGTGAGAAAGTTTTTCTTGGGCCAAGCCCACATGTATCTCCTTACATACCCAGCCTCTGCCCTCTGAAGAGAATGGAGCCACTCTGGGCCTGATCAGGCTCCCTCATTTATGGAAATTTCCAGGCCCGTCACCGTTCCACTCCTTGTTGCGGGCACTGTCTGGGTTGCCAGTCCTAACCTAAGAATTCCACTTTCTAGGCGTGGCAACACGGAGATCAAGTTTCCTGAACTCTGTCTGGGGCCCTGTGAGTTGGGGACAGCTACTCCCAACAGTCCGAGCCATAAAGTTGGGTTTTTTTTAATCACAGTTTTTTGTCTTTTTTTGAGGATTCTGAATTCCATCGGCACCCCGACTTCCTCTCTCTCTCCCATGCAGACACACAATGCCATGTGGTCCCCTTCCGATATGATAGCAGTTGTGAAGTCTGAGTCTCATCACCTCATCACAGCCCAACGGGTAGGGAAAAGAGACCTAATGAAACAAATCCTGAGCTGACAGTCAAGAGTCCCAGTTCCTCCACACTTAGCTCCCTTCTAAGATTGCTGTGTGACCCTAGGCAGTCACTGAGCCGCTCTGAGCCTATTTCCTGCTCTGGAAACATTCTCCAATAATCCACACAGCTCTTCTCTCCCAACCTGCCCTCCACGGGGACCTCTCAGGACACACTCCGTCAATGCCAGGGTCACAGTGTTGGATCTTTACGGCTCTTCCTCCATGAGCAACTAGTGGAATTGTATAGGGAATATATTCCTTTTAAAAGCACGGCCCTGTATGAAAGAGGATGGAGACTGAGCAGTCCTGGGCCCTGGCCCTTTTAGGGTCTGTGATGGGTTGACTTCACAGTTGGAATGTCCACGCTGCTCTGATATAGTGTCTTAAAATAGCTGAGCAAGACTGCATGCGGCCCAGGGTGATGTGCTCGCTCTCCCAAAATGACATGCCATTCTGGAGAAAATTTGGTCCTCATAAAAGGCCATTTTTGTTCCTAAATCCTAGTGGTTTTCCTAGGGTTAGCCCAGGAATGTCATCTTGGAAAACCATCTGTGGGGGTATATTTAGAATAAAATGCTGCACAATAGATGCTTTTGGCTTCCCCCTAGAGAGGCCGCAGACTCCCGCCAGCAGTGTGTGAGAACACCCGTTTCTTGTAGACTTGCCAACAGAGCATGTCACCAAACTTTGGTGTTTGCTAATCCAATTAAGTGAAACATGATATGCAAGCTGGAGATTTGTTATTACATTGACTGAGGTCGTCAAGCATCTTTTCATATATCCAAGGGCAATTTGTGTTTCGTTTTCTGGGAGTTGTCTGTATATGTTCATTGTCCATTTTTCTATTCAGCTATTCCACAATGGCCCTTCTTTTAGCCACAGCTAGCAAACTCTGCTGATGTTTAAAACCTACTATCTAGAGCCAGGAAGGACAAAAAATAAACATACTGGCTATATTCACTCAGGCAGGAGTAGTGCCTTTCAAGTGAACGGAGAAGGTAGAATCTGTACTTCATACTGAGATTCTAGTCTTAGAAGGTAGTTCCATTCTTTCCCTCTCCCACTATTTTGCAAACTCAACATCTTTCTAGAGAGAAACCAAATCCGCCTGTTCGCCACCGTCCCGTGAATATGGATGAGTACTGACTCAGGTCTGGCCAGACAATCTCTTCCTTTGAACTACTGTGATTGGGTAAGAAATTATCATGTGACCTCCACCTGCCCAATCAAAGCCCTCCTCAGGACTTCTGCCAGAGGCAGGGAAAGAAGGCCACTTTCTTTTTTGCTGGTGTCACTACCTTGAAGGACAACGCAGGGCAACTGTGCTGCATGCGGAAAACCTGCCTGGGAAGGAAGCCAACTGTGGGAGGCAAAACTGAGAGAAAAGAAAAAGAGGGACTGAGCCCTTGGATCCACCCCTGGCTGGCCTCCCCTCTCCCACAAGCCAGCGAATGTCCTCTTCTGCTTCAGGCTGGATTTCTATCACTTGCAACCAAAGACACCCTAAGCACAAACACTGAAAGACTTGCACTCACCCTGTCCAGGCTGATGTCCAGAGCGTCACAGACCGTGATGGCAAAGTGCTTGGCCCTTTCAAAGCTCCCTTTCCCGATGCTGTGAGAGCCATCTATCAGAAACAGGATGTCCACCGCAGCCGAGCACCATGTAACTAGGGGAGAGGGGGACAGATGGGTGACAAGCAGCTTCCTTGCAGTCTGGTCCCATGAGGGTCTCACTCCCTAAGCAGAGAGGAGGCAGGAGCGACCCTGTAGCAGGTCAGCTGCTGCTCCTCTTAGGTCAGTGGAGGAAGTAACACTGGACAAGGTCTAGGCCAGAGGCCCTTCTGTGGAAGTCTGTGCTAATGGGAAGAATCTAATTCAACACCACTAACTGAGCCGTATAACAGGAGGTGCGCCTGGGGCAGGGAGAGATATTGAAGAGCCCTGGTCCCAGCCCGCAGGGGCCACAATCTAGTCTGGGACAGAGCCAGGCACCCCGGTACAAGAGGCCGCATTACCCAGGAGTTCAAGAAACACCATCCAGCACTGACTGCATCTTTCCCATAGGCCAGGCGCCACTTTAAACAGTCTGTATGCACTAAATAGCTTCGTTCTCATACACAGCCCTAGATGACTATTTTTTGAAATTTTTGAACAGTTTTATTGAGATAGCATTCACACATATAATTCACCCATTTAAAGTACATCGTTTGATGGTTTTTATTATTGTTACAGATACAGTCCATCATCACCTCAGGCAATTTTGGAACATTTTTCCGTCACCTCATAAAGAAACCCTGTATCGTTTGGCTATCAGCTCCCTAGCCCCTCACCCCCACCCGTAAACAGGTCTAGGAGGTTTATTCCCACTGGAGAGATGAGGAAGGCAGGGCACAGGGCAACTCAGTGACATTCCTAAGGCCTGAGTCTTAGGAAGTGGTGGGGCCAGGACAGAAGTCCAGGCTGTGTGGCTCCAGAGTTCAAACCTTGAATCACCACGAAGATGCAAGACAGTGGCAGTCACAGAAGCCCCAGTGACACGGCGCTACCCAGAAGGCGGCAAACGAAGGCGATCTCACCAGAGAGGGGAGGTAGGGACGTGCGGGGCCCCTGGGACTGGGCAGCTGTGGCTTGGGCACGGGGAGGGGCGGCTGAGCAGGGTGGAAGAGGGAGGAAAACAGCAGCAGAGGCCGGTCGGGCAGGCAGTGGTCACCAACAGAAGACCTCAAAGCATAGGCCAAGAAGTCTGGCAATGGGTGAAGTCAGTCAGTCAGGGAAAGGCAAATACCATGTGATTTCACTTACATGTAGAATCTAAGAATAAAATGAATGGACAAAACAGAAACAGACCCACAGACTCAGAGAAGAGACTGGCGGTTCCCAGAGGGGAGGAGGGTTGGGGGACGGGGTGAAAACCGTGGAGGAACTGAGAAGCACAGGTCGGTAGTTACAGAATAGTCATGGGATGTCATCAAGCACAGCATAGGAAACACAGTCAGTCGTACTGTAATAACGATGCATGGTGCCAGGCGCATACTTGAAATATTAGGGGATCACTTAGTAAAATATAGGATTGGCTGCCTAAGCACGCGGCTGTACCCCTGAAACCAAAACAAAATAATATTTAAAGTAAGCTGTAATTGAAAAATAAAAAATGAATTTTAAAAAAGTTTTAAAAAGAAATTTGGCAATAGGGGTTTACCAAGGGTATGTACCCAGGACAGGGGCGTGGTGGGGCCCGTCTCCTGAGAACAGCTCTGGCCACAGCGTGAAAGGAAGGTGGGAGTGGGGTGCAAACTGTCTGGAGTAACGTGGTTTCCCGGGGGCCCGTCACAAAGAGGCTGAAGTGGGCGTTTGGAGGGTTGACTGAAACATGGGCTTACGTTTGCTGGCGGCTGAAATCTTCCCGATGGTCTCCCTGCTGACTTGGACTTCCTGAAGGGGGAGGGATGGGGGCACTAGGAGAGAAGACACCAGAAGCAGTCATTACAAGGCAGAGAGGGAGGAGTCTCAGCCTCTATATTACCTGACAAGAGCACACAGGTAATAAGAAGGAAGACAGGAATGTGGAGGAGTCCAATGACACGGTATCTCAAAAATTACTGGATGGCTAGCAGAAAGCAACCCCCCAATTACCCTTCTCATATCAGGTACCTTTGTGTTTAAATTTGAAGAGAAAAATTAAAAATTATACACAGAGGGGCTATAAGGAGCCAAACGAGTTTGCCCCTGGTTGGGTCTAATAACTGGGTTCTCTTAGAAATGCCAGAGAAATTAACTTCAGATGTGAGCAGATAACTCGGGAGAAAGAGAGTTCGCATAAAGCACAATGATAAAATGTTGTAACTCCAACAATAAGACTCCATTTTAAGTGTGAAATTTCTGAGTTTAAATCTACTTGGGGAAAACTTAATTCAGGAAAAATTTCCAGTGGTGGCACCGTAAATTGGTACAACCCTTTTTGGAAAATTATTTGGCCAAATACATTAAGCATCATAAAAAGGCATGTACCCTTTGACCCTGTGGTATCACACCTGGGATGTGATCCAAAGGAACAATGATTTAGAGAAGGAACAGTGTGCAAGGAGACACTGCCTTCAGCGTTGTCTGTGAGAGAGGCATCCTGGGAGTAACAAACATTCAGAGATAGGACTATGAGTAAACGCTGACATTTCCATTCAATGCCATGAACACAGACAAGGGCTAATAAATTTTGAGGTAGGAAGTTCATAGACATGTTTTTCTTCCTTTTATATGATACCCAGTAAACCTGCAAAATGATATATGAGAGCAATCAATAACAACATAACAAAATTAACTTTGAGGGCAGTGAGGGCATCCCTTGGAGAGCTAATCTGAAACGTCAACTGCACGTGGTCAATGTCTCGTGACAGAGTGCTCTATATATGTGATGCTGGCCGGTGGGCAAGCACAGAGGAAACAAAGCTAGGGTGGCAGGGCCCAAGAGCAGACTGGACCAAAGAGGGGACAAAGGACCATGATCATGGGCTGCTGCTGGGGAAGGAGGTAAAGGAGAGGAAGCCCAGGACTGGGGGAGAGGGGGCCGTTGCACAATGCAGGGAAGTTGGACCCACGCAGGTTTGCAACTGCCAGGAAAGTGATCAGGAAGGAGACACCAAAAGATTACACCAGGTTCTGGGGGGATGCTCCTTGTTTGTGGCACCCCCTGGGCTGGTCCCAGCTCCATCTCTATGGCTCTTTTCCTTTCCGTACTTACAAGTGCAAACTAAACTTGTTTCTAGTCACCCCCGCCTCCCTGCCATAATCTGTGAGCAGTTTCTACTGACCTGATATGCCCTCCCTTCAATCTCTACTCATAGAGAAGACGGTCAATATGCTGACCCAGCAAATAGCTCCACAGTCAAAAGCTGCCAGGCAAATATCTTTCACGAGGTCTAAGACAGTATGCTATTGTCACTGCTGTTCTACCACCAGAGGCAAGAATAAGACAAACTATAAATACACACGGTAGACTGAATGAAAAGAACAAAAATCATCTACTTCCATAAAAAATGGCAGATGTTGGCACAGAGGCAGAACAACACTTCTAATGCCCCATCCCCCAAAAGAGAACACAAAAATCACTCAATAATTCAGCAAGTTGTCATTCCAGCAAAGAGGCTTTCTGCTTCATTGCATTCAGACATCAAAATCTTGCCAACTTGTGGGGCCCCGTTACGTTGCATCCCATACCGAGGTGATGTTTCCATGGGCCCTGCTCCCCTAGAAGCTCCCGGGGCAGGAACATCGCCGCCTGCCCTCCGCAGAGCCTCGCCCAGCTCTCTGCACACAGCAGGCAGGCACTGAGGTTTCCTGAACGAGCCCATGAATTATTGGCAACGGGCCCAGGAGCTGAGGAATCCCTAAGGCCCTACAAGAAAACCCTGCTGCTTTTTAAACCTCTTACCAGCAAATCGCCTAGCTGGAGACAGGCCAGCTGTCTCCCCAGATGGGAGCGAGAGGAGTGCCGTGGCCAGAGACCACTTACTAAAGATGTCACTCAGCTAACGTGCCTCTGTGCCATGCGCTCAGCTGCTACAGCAGGTGTCAGGCTTCAGGTGCCTGGGTGACACCTCTACTACTCCCCTGTGACATGACCTCAGGACTCTGTGGAGCAGCCCCCCCTGGCAAAGGGAGCCAGTGAACGGATGATTGCCGCTTCCTCTTCTATTTCCTCTTCTAACGAGGGGCAGCCCACCTCTGGAGACCACCTGCCTGGGCTCCAGCACTTAAATCTCCTGGGGGGACGGGCGGTGCTCAGGAGAATCCCCAATGTACTGAAACGCTTTCACTGCAGCCAAGGCTCAGAGAGACAACTCCTGTACCTTCTTGTCTCCCCGACAGGAGACCAGCCCGCGAATCAGGAGACTTGGGTTTCCGTGCACCCAACAGGACGAACAGAAGCCATGGGGTCAGATCAGGCAGAGCCCCTAAAAGCACTGGGACATCACTTAAAAGTTCCAGGCAGAGGGTGGGAGTGGAGAGGGACCCCAGCAGGATCAGATTTGCCTTCTGAAATGGCTGCTGTGCAGAGAAGGGGCTGGAGAAGACCCAGGAGACCACTCGGGGGGCTACAGCCGTGGTCCCCGCGTGAGCCCGTGGGGCTCAGACCCGGCAGGTGGCCGTGATGTGGAGAGACTCAGGGGCATTCCCGAGACCTTCAGACGTTAAGAATGACAGGCTGTGAGACCAACGAAACTCTTCCACACCTTACCCACCCCACCCCCACCCCCAGCACAAAAGCTTACCTCCAGCAAACAGGACAACACAGATGGCTTCCAGCAACAGGACAGAGGGCATGTTGAGATGACTGTAGGGCCAGGACAAGAGAAAAAACAACAGCAGTTATCTCTGTGAGCTCCCCAGGTCACACCTCCAAAAAAGATGGCAGTACTCGGCCCCTTTCAAGGTACCAGTAAGACCTTGGAGGCCCTCCTCACCAAAACGACCCGCAGCCTGGAGGAGACCCGCATTCCTAAAAGCCACAGGAGGCTTTACTCCAATGACTTGGATTTTAAAGGACAGTAATGTCTTCTCAAGACACCCGCCCCCAAAACCCTCCCAGCCCCTTCACAGACTGGGGCAAGGAGCGAACCCTATGTCTAGACGAGAGTTCAGGGAGGGGGTCCAGGGTTGAAGATTTGACTTCAATATCTTTGTTTCATGAAACCTGGCAAAGTCACCAAGCCTGCACTTTCTAAATTATGTCTAAACAGCCTGAGGAAGAAACACATTTTTAAAGTTTTTTTCATCGCCTAATAACGCTTAGAGTATGGATGCAATTTAGTTCCATGGAGCCTGATTATTTAGCAGTTTTTGAGGGAAGTAATGTGAAAAGTGAGGGCTTTTCATAGGAAACTGACTGTAACGTTGATTCCAGAAGGGCACGCACCTTATGAGGTGTACTTCTGACGTTCGCTGCCAGGCCCAGGAAATGTATCATTTTCTTTTCAATCACAAAGATCTAATGCACAATTCAGACAACCTTAGGTTTTAGCAAGTGCCCATGTAGTAAAAGAACTGAAAGGGTTGTACAGAATGAAATTTAGACTTTTCCCCCAGTATCATTTAGCAGGGAAATATCTAAAAAAAATCTTGACAATAGAGTCTACAAATCGTATTTTTTGCCCCATGGGATCCAATGTATTCAGGATCTCACCCTGCACTTTCTCTGCATTAAACTTGTCCTTTAAGAAAAGACTTGGACAAGCCAGACAATGTCACATCTAGGTGTTACTACAGTTTCCTTTCATTAACAGGTAACACTGACACGCTTGTAAGAGAAACCTCTGAAGAGAAAAACCCCAGGCAGAGAGATGGAAAGAGAAACAGGGGTCCAGGGAACCCCAAGTTCTAGAGACGAGGGCAGGGAGAGAAGATCAGTCACTGCGTGTGGCACCCAAGGGTGCAGCGGGAAACTCACTTCACTCTGATGCACCCCACTCGGAAAGTCCCTTCACCTTCTTAAATAAGCGGCATTCTTCTTGCATCTAAGATGATGGATAACAAGGCAGGAGCCCCAAGTCTTCATCTAGGTATCATGGGCCTTCCGACCAGCCCACCCCCGCCCCCAAGGAACGCTAGTTCTCCGACACAGGCCAGAGTTTCCTGGTCATCTCTAGCAGCAGACCGAACTGCCTCTAACATAACCTGCACTAAAATGAGTTCTCCAACAAACTCACACTCTCACAGCCTCCCAATTGCAGGAACAAAACACCTCCGATTTCAGAGGATTTGCTGAGCAGGCTAAGAGGCATGGCTGTCTTGAAAATCAGACGCACAGGAAAGGTAGATCCTTCTGTGGAAAGGTTTAAACTGACCCAGCTCATGCTCATAAAGCTGCTACGGCCAGACCTTACTTGGAATTACAGGAAGTGAGAACAAACAGAGGGGGCACTATAGGGTCAGTGCTAATGCCCCCCCCCCCCCCCCGCAATCCCACCCACAGGGGGCAGGAACCGCGGAATGAATGAGAAGGTCCCGGCGTGTGAAAGAGGCGGCTTGGCGTGAAGGAGCCGCACTCACCTCTGAGATGAACAGGTCACTGAGGCTCAGGACAGGAGGGTCCTGCATGCTGCCTTGAGCCACTGCTCAGAACTTCATCCACACTGAGACGGCACCCCTCTAAGTGACTACCTGACAGGCAGGGAGGGGCCACACCTCGCCCGTGGTGGCGCAGAACCCGAACCCTGAATCCAGAAGCCCCCGCCTCGCATCCCATGCAGTGTGACCCTGGCTTACGAAACGGGAGGAGGCTGTTCCAGATGCTACTAAGGCGTCTTCTGGTTTCAAAAATCCCCTTTGATCTCCCCTCCATCCTGGACCTATGGGGGCCAGACCTTACTCCACTGTACATTCAGCTCCTTGGGTTTCAAAGCATTTCCAAAATACATGAAATCAAATGTCCCAACCAGCTGAGAGTCCTTGTGCTTCCAGTGACTAAGAGGCTCATCTTCACCCAATCTAGGCGGAAATCGGAAATTCAACACTGCAGGAGTGGGGGAGTCAGGGAGAACGGTGGACATGGAGCACCCTGGGTGCTTCCTGCTGGCTTCCGGCTGGGCGCGAGTCAACAAGGCACTTCCCTGTCCCCCGAGGACAAATTTTCTTTCCTCTTACTGCACACAACACACGTAGGACAAGTCCCTACTTGCCACCTGGCAGCCAGGAGAAGGCCAGGCCTGGGGACAAGGGGCAGCACAGGACCAAGGTAAAGGGCCTCTCAATGCTCTCTAGCCCTTGAGTTCAGGATGATTTTCTGGGTCACAGCCCCTGACCTTGGGCACGTGCAGGACTCTGAGGCTCCGTCCTGTTCATTTTTTTAAGACCAGGATCCTTGCAGCCTCCCCAGGGTGCTGTGAGGACAAGGTGGAAGGAAGCTGGAAGGTTCCTGCCACACAGTAAGTGTGACCCCACTCCCTCTGCCATGAAACAAACCTAAGCCACGTCGTCTTGCTCTATTATGGGTCCTTGCTTGCCCAGGTGATGTTCCTAACTTTCCGCTCATTAAAATAAAACGTATGTTGGCAATCTCCAAATCGGGGCAGAAGTCAAATGCTTCCTCATGCATGTTTGGATGGGATGACACTGGCTCTGGGACCTCAGCAGCACCTGCCTCCCCTGTCCCCAATACAACCCCTGCAGTCACCTTGCCCACGCTGCATCAGAGGTGCCTGCTGGGTAAGCTAAGCAGCACAAACCACGCCGGCCGCCCATCGCAGGAGGGATACTTCCGGATCGATCCTTGTGCCCACTACATTCTTTATTGTACCACAATAAACGAAGTGAATGCCGTTTCAATGCTGGTGAAGTATTAATAGTACTCTTTACCCACTGTTCCCACCCAATATTTTCAAATATTCTGTTTATTCTCCCTTCCTCACATATCAAAACTTTCTTGAAATACTAATTTGATATTCTAAATACCAATATCTAGAAACTTTTATTTTTATGTTTTAAAAGATTTCTTTTATTTTTAGAGAGAGAGGAAGGGAGGGAGAAAGAGAGGGAGGGACACATCAATGTGTGAGAGAAACATTGATGTGTTGCCTCTGCACGCGCCCTGACCAGCAGCGGAACTGGTGACTTTTCACTTTGCAAGACAGCGCCCAATCACCGGCGTCACACCAGTCAGGGCCTGAACATCTTTTTTAAAAAGAATGGGTTCCACAGTAAAACTCAACAGCTACCACCATCAAGCTGCCAGGTGCTCCATACTCACACGTCTTCTCTACTAACCCACAGACAGTCAGTGAGAGTATGACCCCTGTTTTACAGGTGAGAAAATCGAGGCGTGGAGCAGTTAAGTGTTCTGCCCCAGGCTATACAGCTAATATGAGGATCCGTCTCCATGCTGGTCTCTGGGGGATTGGTTCACGCCATCTCCTTCAGAATCAGGATAGAGGAACAGAAGTATAATTAAAAGTCTGCCACCCTAAATCCCGCCCTTTGGCAGTTTTCCACCCAGCTAATAACCTGCCAGCAGCCCCCACCCTGGAGCACAGGAGATTTCCAGAGCTCTCTGCATTCCTGTACAAAGCAGTCAGGAGCAGCCTGAACCCCAGGGGTGGACGCAGACCATTTGCTCCCAGGTACACCTTGTTAAGCCTTTTCCATTACAAAACGCTTCCATCACCGTATTTGTTCTTCTCTGTTCCATTACTCATGCTAATCCCACGCACCATTCCTGGCTTCTGCGATTCTCACACAGAGACTTAGATGCTTCTTCCCCACCCCAACAACGCCCCAATCTTCTCATCTGACTGTCGTCTGCAAATCCTGGTTCCACACAGCCCCTGTGGCATCTGGGGACAGCAGGTGAGTGGGACTTGCTGCAGGGCACCACAAAACACTGCACTCCGGGATTACCCTTCCCCAGACATGGGAAGAAACAGAGGCCAAATCAAGACTACCTTTGAAAAAGACGGGCGGACTGGCAATAGCTAAAGGCAGTTTTGCGGGACAATGCCCGCCTTCTCCTCTATGATCGGAAATGAAATGAGTGCATGGTAAAAAAAGAAACCACTTCCGCCTCCTTACAAAATGTAATTCCTACCCCAAATATTAGGTTAGCTCTTGGCAGCCTCCTCTCAATGGGCCGGGATGGAAACCTGAGCCCTTTAACAAGAACAGTCAGCACCTGAACAGGAAGACTAAAATCAGAGGTAGAAGTCTCCCGCCAGGCAGACATGGGTGTCTTTTTCTGTAAGAATCATCTTTCTTGTCCATCTGGGCTCAAGCCCAGAGTCTAGGGAAGTGGACAGCATGTTTCTAGTTTGATAAGGCAGGGAAAGCACTTTAAAAAGCAGCTCAGGGAACAACGTGCTCCTACTAAAGGAATTACAAATTTTCAGAACCCAAGAGTCAGAGAGGCAGAGGTCAGCACCAGAGACAAACACTGCGCTGTGTGCATCCTCTGACTGGCAGGGAGAAAGTTGTGCAGCTGGGTGGAGCCTTCCATTCTCACCCCATCTGCTACAAGATATTTTTAGCCACAAGAGATTTTAATGTTTGTTTTGGTGATCTCTGAAAATCCTTTAAGTTGCACAAGACCCAAATTCACACTCTGGGACGCACACACACAGGACCTGAAGTCCAGGGACTGAATTGCAGCCTAGCTCTGCTAGTAACCAGCTGGGAGATTCTGCACGCAAGAGCTTCCCCTGCTTCAGTTCACTCAGCTGTCAAATGCGGAGAATCGCAGTTTCAGAAACTCACGCAGTGTTGCACAGATCCTATAAAATAGTGTGTGACCATCCCTCCCACTGGTAAAACACTTTCTAAGTGTACGATGGTTAAAGATG